TTGGAGAATGTGAAGCCTTGGGCATCTTGGGGGAGGATACTGAAGGGCATTTGCAAAGTGCTATTTTCTTGCAAATTGCTGGAATATGAGGATGAGATTTTGGGAATGAAGACAGCCTGCTAATTGTCAGGCAAACACTGGAAAACTCTATGATTGTTAATGCTAAATAATGTCCCAAGTATAGACAGTTCCAATTTTCTTGGTTTCTAACAGATGAGAAGGCTCACGACTATGAGGTAACTGGGAATCAGCCCGGCTCGCACATATTTTGTTGGTTAAAACCCTCTTACTTCGGCCCAACCAGCTGTACATAATTTCAGTGACCTAAATGGCTTTGTGGTTTTCTGCATTTAGGAAAGGGGGATAGACGTCTATTTGTAATTGGCCTTCTCTTTCCATTACGTGACTCCAGGTGTGTGTAGGTCTGTCTGGATATCTGTTTACTCCGGTTCACTTCTTTTGTGTGTACCATTCTCTGTTTGTGATTCAAACAAAAAATGAATTCTTTTATTGCTTGAATCTATTCTCTGCTGTTTTCATCTTTGATGGGTTCACAGATTATTTGTAAGACCCTATTCTAAAAAGCTATATTTTAGGTCAATTTATGTTTGTAGGCACATCATGACATTAAAATATGGCTTATATAAAATTTAATTGTTCTTATACTGGCTTAAATATTATTGTGATATATTATAAACATTAATTGTTGCCTCTGTTTTTGAAATATTGCAGAATTCATTGTAAGGGAAACAAAAGTTTTGGCTTTGTTGAAACAAATACAGTTAACATGAAACCTGAAATAGACACTGAAAATGATGGTAACATTTCTCTTTAATTAATTAAGATTTGTAAATAAACCTACCTATGTTTATTTTAAAAAATAGAACTTTAAATTTTTTTTTTCTTGGGCTAACTTTCCTGTCCCTAATTTTGTCTTTTAAATCAGTTTAAAAAAGGGTACTATATAATTGGGCATACATGAGTGTTTGTGCACCAGCGGGAAAGCTTGTTGTTGTTGTTATTGATCCAGTGGCGTATAAGCTTTCACCCTTTGGCCCAATGCCATGTAGTGGAATTTACGTGTTTTCACAAGTTGTTCTTTTCCTCCGTACAAGGTGTTCCACCTGTCTGGTCTCGGAGGGAGTAGCATTCTTCTAGTCTCGTTGAGTTTTGGGCACTCAAAGAGATGATGGTCAACATTTTAGTAGGGGTAGTTACATAGCTGGCACTCTGGGGAGTGTTGTGGCTGTATTCTGTTTAGGTGTCCATTGAGTGGAGTATGTTGTGTTCTGAGTCTAAAGATGGTGGTCTGGTCCTTTCTTGTTAAATGGTAAATGCTGTCGTTAGGATCAGGGCTAGCCATGTGTCTATAAACCTCATTCCAGCGGGAATGCTTAAGTACCTAGTGACAAGTGCTGCACTGGAGCGGTGACCAGCACATTATCTTACCTGTCCATTGGTCTAAGAAAGCTGTGTGACATTTCCATTCCGTCACATTAGTAAAGTATAATGCTGGCAGTATTGTTTTATTTTGTTTCTCTGGCTCTGCTATCTGAGTTTTTGACATAACGATGACCCTATGAGCCACATTTTGGATGTCAGCCAGCCAGGAGCAAAACCCAGATCTTCATTCAAATCGTTGGTGTTATTATTAGAGACACTCTGACTGGCATGAAATAATTAAATATCATTGTTTTAAAATGTTTCTTTATCTTCAGGTTGGAAGAAATATAATAATTTTCCACCCCTTGTCCCTCATTGGAGCATAGATCTTCAACCGGTGCATGCCAAGGTGTTCAATTTTTTGCCATCTCCTAGAGCTTCCTTTATTTTCTCCCCAGATTGTTAATTTGTCTTAATTCTCTTCTCCATGTGTCTTTAGATGTCTTTTCTATCCCTTGTACCCTAAAGATTCATATGAGTGGACAGTATTTGAATTATTGTTAAGTTTTATTGGTGTGTTTCCTATTCAGAGTGAGTGTCTTTTCCACAGCTCCATTTTATTCTTCTTGCTGATTCACTTCATTCTGTCTTACTAATTAATTAAATATAAATTAGTTCCTTCTCAAAATGTAATGCGAGCCTCAGTGGTTCCCTGCTAGATTTTCGCCTATGGATCTAAAGGTCACGAGTTCAGGTCCTGACACCAGGTCGACCCAACATTAAATGGGTACCAGGAAAGTAAAGGTGGCCTACGTGATGTTGAGCACATCGCCCACTGTTCTAATTGGTCAATAAAATGTAGGTCTGTTCTTATATGCCCATACACATAACTGCTTGGAAAAGGGTCCTTTGCTTTACTTTATTTATAGATTTAATATGCACACATATAATGCTGTTTTTGAGTGTTTGTGTGTGCATAAGTCAGCCAAGACCGGCTCCAGTTGATGGGTCATGCTGCTGGCGTTAACGCAGTGGTTCTCAAACGGGGTGCCGAACGTATGCCAGAGGTGCCGCGCAGTAATCAAGAAAAGTCGGCTACAAATGGTGAAATTATTAAAGAAGGCATGTAAATACTTGAAAGTTAAAATTTAAGTTGTCTTCCCTCACTACTGTTGTAAATAGTTTATTTCTTGTTTGAAGCTACTCTTTGGTTTAATTACTTTAAAAATTAGAAGTAAACATGCTAACTTTAACTACCCATTCAGTAATATTGACCTTTTTAAAAAAAATTGTTTATGATGCTGTTTGTTTTATGTGATGTATTTTTGTGGCCAAGTTTATATTTGTTAAAAAGTTTACACATTTTCAGATGCGTATCTGAATCTTTATTTGTTTTATCACAGTTGCGACAGTGGAGCCTCCACTTCAGCACAAGAAACGTGTGGATGGCCCCCCAACGTCTTTGTCTACTGAGTATTTCAGCCTACCACCAGATGTTGCTGAATATACTTTGCTTGGTGAGTAACTGTCAGAATTACTTGGAAGAATATCATCAGAATATAGAGTTCCAAAGGTTGCATGCTAGAATCCAGTTGGACAAATTTTTCAGAGAAGCTTAATGTTGTTGTCTTCGTCTGCTTATGCAGTTTATCCTCCAAAGGATTATAGACTATCCACCAGCTTAAATATAGTGAGGACAGTCTAGTTATATTATTGTCATGTTTTCTGAATGTGTGTCTTATCCAGCATCATAAAAATAAATCTTTTGTAAATCATCTTTAGGCCAGCAAGAGAAATTTGCTCATAATGTGAAGTACCATGGCAAGAAAACTGCCCCAGAGGGGCTGTACAAGAACAAGGAGAATTTTGACAGCCCTCCACCCCCCAGCAAGCAACTCAAGATGCAGAAACGGATAGTAAGTTGAGGATCATTTTAGAATTTCACTTTTATGTATTAGTTTCTTGATCTCCTTCTGCGTTCACCATCAAAGTGACAGTTAGCACGTTTTATTGAGATTCACAGCTAGGCTGTGATATCTGCCCCTTTCGGCCCAGCACTTCTAGTTTCAGAAAACTAATTTGTCGTCTTTCGAGATAAAATATATTTTTTAACCAGTACAACCACCCCCCGCCCACCCACCTGTATGGGTTCCGGTGCCCCATTGAGGGGAACAAGAATAGATCTGATACCTCCTCAACATGCATGTTGTAGAAGTCGACTTATTGGAGGCATCCTTCGAGGTCGGAGTACATCTGTTCGGAGAGGTACTCAGGTTCTTGAAGAAAACTTAAGTCCATATGTGGACAAACAACCAGAACTTTCTGCAGGAGTTTACAGCCAATGAATACCAAGAAGAAGAAGAATCAGTACCTTTAAACATACATGGTGCAGAAACCTGGACAATGAACAGATTATTAGAAAACTGAACTGAGTTTCTGGAGATGTGGATAAATGGACAATTAGGTTGTATTATACATAAACAAAAATTGATCAAATACAGACTTTTTAAAGAATATTGGAAGGAACTGTTGAAATAAATTTACAAAAGAGACAAATGACATATATTTAAAGATATACCACTTATTAAATAAAAACTATTTTGAGGGAAACAGTTGAAGGCAAATGAGCAAGAGGTTCACAATGATACAAATAGGAATTAACACCAAGAGATGGATGCACGAGAATTATTTCCTTTGGAGATTAATGATAAAAGAAGAAGAATGACTACGCTAGAAAAGTAATGTTGAGGAAGGAGGTAATTGTTTAAAAGAGGTTGCAGTCATTTTATTCACACATTTACAAGCAACACTCTACACAATGCTTTTAAAAATAATTGCGGAATAATTTGTGTGTAATACCCTTCAAAAAGGCTTTTAGCGAGATGAGGAATATACCAATAACAAGATGTCCGTTGTAGTCAGAAAGTGCTATTTAAAACCTGTGTTTAATATGCATATGAGGCGTCGACAATAATAAGTAGACAAGTTAAAGAACATTAACTCATATTGGAGCTGTAGTTTTTGAAAAGAATTCACATTATCATGGAATGATAGAAAAACAAGTGAAGTAGTCCTCCTCAAGACAGATGAAATTCATAAACTTCTTCTTCTTTGTGTTCACCGGCTGTAAACCCTGGCGGGAAGTTCTGGTGTTCTGATGCAGATCTGATTAATTTATATGCAGACTGTTGGTTCCTAGTCTCTCAGGCAGATGGACTCCAACTTTGAAGGAAGCTCCCAATTAGTCGACTCTTATGACATGCTTTTGGGTAGGCAGTGGGTCTATTCTTGTTTTCCCTATAAAAGGGTCCCAGAACCCACATGGGGAAGTCGTAAACTGATTAGAACAGACATAGAAAGTCTATGTTATGAAAAAGAATGGACTTGAGAACTTGGCAGCAACTGACTACACTCATGGAAAGAGGGCAAGGGAAAGCCAGAGAAATAAACACCTTGATGGCTAGGTCACATTGGTAGGGGCCAGACAAGAACACGTCTTGATTTTTTTTAGATGATGAAACATGGCAGCATATGAATACCGGCACAGTGTCCATCTTCCTGTGTAGGATCTGTTTGATGGAAAGTCATCTTATGTAACTTTCAGTTTTTCCTTACAGAAACCGTTGATCAAAGAACGTCATCCACCAGTGACGAGGTCCTCCCAATATCTGTCTGGCACCACGTCTGCCTTATCTCCACCGCCAGCCCCCAGAACACAGAAAGATACTCTGGCTGTGAAGGTAAGAACAAACAGGCCAGTACAAGGAATCATGTTTTTATTTACAAGGAGTCATGTTTTGAGTTGAAAACACATACTTGATGTTTATTAGAGAGAGAAAAGAGGCCAGATTTAGCTAGCATTCTATATCTCAGAAGTGTTTGTTTAAGGTTATGAAAGTTCTGGTCAGAAATTTAGCAGCAAAATTACAGATTACTTAAAGAATGTCTAAATTAGAAGGAAAAAATGTAACCGCAGCTCAATAAAGTTTCATAACAGACTAGAATATCCATTCAGTCTAATGCCATCTCAGTACTGAAGGTTGCCTTTAATGGATCTGTGAATTTATCTTTTCTCTGAGGCATGTGCATATTTTGGGAAACAAACAGTCAAGACTTGCTCTGCACCACTGGGTAGTTAATTGATGCATGATAAGCTAGATATTAACACGGTCCTTTGGGAGCAAGTGAACTATGCATAGGTGTAAACAGATGGGAGCAAGTGAACTATGCATAGGTGTAAACAGATGGGAGCAAGTGAACTATGCATAGGTGTAAACAGATGGGAGCAAGTGAACTATGCATAGGTGTAAACAGATGGGAGCAAGTGAACTATGCATAGGTGTAAACAGATGGGAGCAAGTGAACTTTGCATAGGTGTAAACAGATGGGAGCAAGTGAACTTTGCATAGGTGTAAACAGATGGGAGCAAGTGAACTTTGCATAGGTGTAAACAGATGGGAGCAAGTGAACTTTGCATAGGTGTAAACAGATGGGAGCAAGTGAACTTTGCATAGGTGTAAACAGATAGGAGCAAGTGAACTATACATAGGTGTAAACAGATGGGAGCAAGTGAACTATACATAGGTGTAAACAGATTATTACTGATTGGATGATAAGAATGTTGCAGTGAGGAGTGACTAGGGGATCTGGACAAAACTATACGCAAAAGAATGGTAAGGTAGACGTATAACCAAACTGTTACAGATACCATAGGCATAGGAAGTCTTCACAATCTCGTAAAGATTGGCTATTATGGAAATATCCTGAGTGCTGTTATGTTGGTTCTTAACTAGACTCATGTTATCCAGTGGATTTCTGTCTCTCGCAGTAGTTTTATAGTGTCCTAGACGGCTGTTTGTCCATCTTTTGATGATTCATATTTCTATCAATTTCTTATTCTTATTGCTTAAGTTTTCCGGTGTGATTTTCATTAGTTTTATCTATTTGAATGTAGCCAAAATATTTAATTTGGGTCTTTTTCATTTTTTTTTTTTTTTACATAACGCCTTGTCTCTTTAAAAACTCTGTATTTTATTGGTTTTTTTTTTCCATGAAATAAATTTTTCTGCAAATTCTCATCTCTCTAAATGCTTGTTTATTGTTTCTGTGTAATATAATAGTGTTGAACATATATAACATTTTCTTCTTCTTCTACTCGTTCACCAGATGTAAGCTGCAGTGGAAAGTCCTGGCTGTTCATCAGCTCCAGGACTTTGGCCTTGCTTCATAACTTTTTGTGTGCACCTTCATTTTACAGATCTGACCAATTTGTATGCAGACTGTTTTTTTCCTCACCTCACAAGAGATCATCTTTGACTTTGGAGGAAACACCCCTAATTAGTCACCTCCTGTGACATGCTTGTTATGAGGAAAGTTGGTCTATTCTTTAATCTCCAAATTGAAGCCCCAGAACCTGCAGAGGGAATATAACATTCTAAATGCTCACCTACCGACCCAAAGGTCTTGAGGTTGATATAGCACTGGGTGGGGGTGGGGGGTGTGACATTGGCTTCTAGATTGGCCCTGTCTAACATAGATACCAAGAAATGTCCTGGGAACTAAGTTTGGCCGCCATGATGTTTACCACATCAGACATCAAAATCTGATTGGTCTGTACAAATCTGAGTCAAGTATCATATGCCCAGTGCACCCCTGATATGAAAAGGGTCCTTTATTTACTTTACAGGTGATTTGACATTTCCATGACTAGAACATCACTGTCATAGGAACCTTGATTACATATCACCAGGGTCCCCATGTGGGTCCTGGGGAAAACAAGAATAGACCCACTGCCTGTCCAACAAGCATGTTGCAAGAGTTGACTAACTGGGGGTTTCCTTTTAAGTCAGAGTGCATCTGCCTGAGAAGCAAGGAACCAAGAGTCTGCATACAGATAAGTCAGATTTGTAAATTAGATGTACATGCAGCACTAAAGTCCAGAGGTGGATGAACAACCAGAACTTTCCAATTGAGTTTACAGCCGGTGAACGCGAAGAAGAAAATGAAGAAGTCACCAGGGTAGCTTCTTATGTTGAAGTTAGTCTAATATCCTTTAAAAGATATGTGTATATCTTTAGGAAGCCATGAAGGACAAGGATTTGACGGATGTTCTTGGAGGTAAACCAGCTGCTACTAAGTCACAAGAACAAGGGACACATGTAACACAGAATGGAAAGTTGAGGGAAGAAAGGAAAAACAAAACTGAGGCAGCACAGATGAACAAGACAAAGAGTATGGCTGCTTCAACGGGACAGGTAGGTTACTTGTGAATTGTAATTAGATCACTACCATCATCATCATATTAGTGAATTTTAATTAAATTACCATCACCACATCATCACATGTGTCACTCCTTTGTCAGTATACACAGATCAGCAGGGAGTTGTGATAGCATAGTGACTAGATGCTTTCCTGTTGGTCTGAAGTTTGAATCTCTACCAAGTTGTTGACCCAGTCTAAAATCAGTACCAGGCAATGCCTTGAAAATAAAGGTCATTCAAAACAGTGATCTGCAAAAAACCAGCCTAAATGGACACATTTATTTATGTATAGGACTTCAGTGGGTGAGTCTTTCTGGCCAGAGGTGTAGTGAGGAATTATAATCTTAGATCATATAAAAATATTGAGTTACAAGGAAATCTGAGCGGTATGTTTATTATGGATTTTTTTCTATATGGCCAGTGACCGAGTTTGTAATTCTAAATTTGACACGTGGATTAAAAAAAGAGACCGAAATCAATTCATTGTGAAAACTCAGGTCATTAGCTTGATGAGCTATACAACTACGATAGTGCTCAAGATTATACAAACAATAATTTTTTTTTTAAAAATAGATAAAGGGGGTAGCTGAAGAACAGTTTGGTTTCTATAAAGCAACAGCATCAAGGAAGCTATAATTGGTTTAAGGAGCATGGCTGAAAAATAAGTAGAAGTTAAAACAAAAATAAATATTAAGAAGTTTTTATTATGTGTACAGCTATTCACATGTCCTCAAGATAGAGGGGTTAGATGGAAAAGATATCAGACCTATTAGTAACCTGGAAAGGAATCAAATAATAACAGTTAAATACAAAAATACTTTTTCAATTCACAAAATAAAGCATGTTGTCCCTAATCGTTTTTTTTTTAAAACTAGCATTTTTACACTTTTTGTGTAACGTGTTTTGGAATCATGTAGTAACTTAAATAGGAATCAAAAAAGCAAGAGCTAGATACCAAAATAATAACTCAGCACAAATATAAAATAAGAATTATTGTAGGAAAGCAAATAGTCTCTAATCCTTTTTTACTAGCATTTTTACACAAATCAGTGTAACATTTTTGGGAATCATACAGTAACCTATATAGGAATACAATAATAACAGGTAGATACAGAATAATTACCAAACACACACAAATATATATTTTTTTTTTAAAAAGGAAAATTCTGTGGGCCCATGCTCCAAAGGAAATAGGAACACATCAAGATATACACAATTCAGAATTACAAACAGTAGAGGAACAAAACTATATTTCAAAAGGTCCTTGAGTGTTTATTTGTTGCGTGTTTCTCCAGGACGCAGCAGCAGATAAGAATGTAAGCGATGTTCCTGAGACTAGGCCAGACGGTGTCAGGGCAGAGGAACAGCTACCACACACAACACAGATTAAAAAGAAGAAAGACAATAAATTCAGCATGAATGAATATGCACAGACTAACTTGAGGAAAGGAGTGGCTCTTTCTGGACCAGAAGCTCCAGTAGGTTTTATTCTTCTGGCGAAGAGTTGATTGATTGATTTTTTTCTTCTTCTTGTGTTAGTGTCTGGTGCTTAAAATTCATAATTTCGAAGTAGTTGGATTCTATTCCAGCTGCAGGCAAATTGGCAGCAGACCCTTTTGTGTTAATTTGGACAGTCTTATATGGTGCCAACCATTCATAAAGCAGTACTGAACTGTGTACAATTTCCCAGTATAACCAAACAGACTGCCCCCATTTTCCCAAAGGAAACTGCTGGGGTTGGTTCTGTAATGTTCTGTAAAGGATGTGCAACTAACTAACTCTTTCTCTCATAGTCTATTTTGTGTGACTTGGTATTCATTTCAGTCCACAGCTTTCTGTCTCATGCACTGTCAGCACTTTCTGATATTGGTGTTCTTTTGCTCCATGATGTCAGAATGTTGAACATCTTTTCTCTTGGTCTTCTTTCCCTCTTTTCCCCTCTAACTTTCCCGTTGTCCTGACAGACTCCAGTCTGCCCCCTCTCTTGATGTGACTAAGGAATGTAGTCTTCTGCTTTTGATGTGGCTAATCGTTTCTCTTTACAACATCATGTCTTTCAAGAAATATTTATGGTTATTTAAACAATTTGTTTTTAAAAATTTGCCTGTTGTTCTATAAAATGTAATTTCTTCAGCTTCCACAGAATTTGTCACCAGTCGATTTTAAGCATTGTCACCAATTAGCTGACAACCACGATTCCATTGTGTAAATTCACAATTTATAGAAATAATGTCATTGTACTCTGGACAGACTCATAGTGTTTGGTCTTTCTTAGCAAATTTTAAATATTGAAGTCTATAGAAATTCTGATAAACTTTCCCTTGTACCTTTTTCAGCAGCAAAGCTGAGGAATGCACTGGTGGAGGATATGGGCCTTATCCTAGGAAAAGGGCATGCAACCTGAAAACTTTATGTTATGGTAGGGTAGACCAGGCACTTAGCCTTGGTTGGCTTCTAGTCTGGAAGGGAAGCTGTGACAGAGAGATAAGACAGTGCACTGGTGTTTTTAATTCAGAGCATGATATTCAGGATCATTGCTGCTACTGCATGTATTTATCTTTCTTCTTCTCAGACACTCAGCTGTTGTCACACCACTCTCCCCTCCCATTATCCATGTTCCCTTCCTGATTTCCCCTTCATCCAGCATAGTCCATGGCATAGTCCTATTCTCTTGATTCATTCCAGTATCTGTATCATACATGTCCATCTTGCAAAATTCTGTATATTATATTAGAGGCCAAACCTAAATATATTCTGCCCATCTGTAATTTAACACACAGGATGTCTTAAGAGACTCTACCATCCTCAAAGTGTGCCCTAGACATCTGAGCCCCTAAAGATTGAGGATTGAGAAAACTGACTTCAAGCCTCCCCATTCTAATACAACAGTTTTGTGAAAATAGCTCTTTCCAATTCTTCGTCATATTAGAAAGTTAGCCATTTTCCTGGTGCAAATAATTTGACCAGGTTTGACTACCACGAAGAAGAGTGTTGAAAACACATGCTTGATAGACAAGGGGGTTTATTTTAACCATGAGCTTTTTAGCTTTCTGTTTACTAAATTCGTTCCTAATCTGCCATTGTTGTTGCTGCCTCACATATTCTGATGTTGATACCTGCTCTTTCCAAGACAAGGGAACATAAAAACATTTCAAAATCTGCCTTTATTGAGGGCTTGAAGAAGTTGAAGGAACATGCAGGCAAGTGTATTGGGCAAGAAGGGATTTGTTTTGTGGAATTAGTATAAATTATGTCCATGTCAAAGTTTATGTATGATTTATAACAGTTGTCTCAAAAGTGTTGGGTTGTTGCACCTTGTATATTTGTCTGTTCTCTGTTGCAGGAAGATTATGCACTGAGATACAAGGCAAAAGTTGCAAGACCCCCACTGGCTAGACAAGTTTCTGAATACCAAAAACAGTTTCAGTGGAAGGATATGATGAAGACTTCTCCATTGCTTGGTGCAGAGGAAGTAAGTTATTTTGGTGTTGACAAAGCAGCTACCACAGAGAGTCATGCTGAAGAAATATAATGAACACAGAGCAAGGAGAAGAACACTCAAATATGTAATGATGCCATCAAGAACAACCTTAAAGAAATAAAGATCAACTTATGTAACACATTGGAAGGAGCAGACATCTCCACTCAGCTCTTCAATGTGGTAACTGAAGGAATAGAAGAAGAGGAAGATGAAAGTTTTGTTTCTTAAATGTTCATTAAATCCACTGTAGGAAAACTATTATACTATACATTTATCAGTGAAGTCAGAAGGCATAACATATCATAACATTACACTGGTGTGTGTGTGTGTGTGGGGGGGGGGGGGGGGGGGGGTGGGAGTTATAGGTGCCCTAATTATAATTTGTTAGAAGACTAGAAAATATCGGGGATTTGTCCTTTTGGAGTCACATCCTGATGTGGTTGCAAGGGGTGACATGCTTCGAATAATAATTTAAAGGGGGAAAGTAATAAAATTAATCAGCAAAATGATTAATCATCATTATCACATGTTGTTAAGCGTAAACAGTCATGTTTTGCCACTTCATGCGGTCATCAGAATCATGGATCCGGTCAGTACCTTTGTCTCACCCCCATCCATATGACCAAACCACAGAGGTATTGATCTATTGATTGTCCCCTTGTTTCTCTCTCTCTCTCTCTCTCTCTCCCCCCCCCCCCCCCCCCCCCCCCCCCCCCAGTCTTGGCAATCATGACACGGTTCTAAAGTCCATTCCTATTTATAGTGTTTAAAAAGGATTAGTTGTGTTTGTGTCTTATTTATAAAATAAAATGAAAACTTTGGTTATATAACGTTTATCAGTGAGCCAAAAAAAAACAAAAACATTCACATTTACAAATTTAAAAAAAGTAAAGGTCTTGTTATTGGCTTTTTCCCCGTGGCTTCACAGAGAGGTAACCCAGCAGGCAATAGGGCACCAGCGCAGCAATCAGCACAAGTTAAACCAAGCACCAGCAGCAGTCAGCTAAAACCCACAGAGATAGGAGCTAAGAGAGCCAGACTGGACCCAGAACCCCAAGTACAACACCGGACTTAGGAAGGCAAAGAATGCGAATATCAGGTGTGACTTCACATCACAAAGAATAGGAAACCAAATAAGATAGCCAAGGAATCTTCTTTTATATAGCAGGCCTCCGGGCAGCTGGAACAGAATCAAGTTTGGAATTTTTGTTTATCAAATTGGAATTGGTATTGTTATAGTGTCTTAAAGCATCCGGGAAAACTGACTCAGGTAACAAATGCCTGCAGAACTTCGATATGTCAGCCGAAAAATAAAAATATTGCATCCAAGTTATACCGTCACCACACATTTACATCTTTAAATGAACGCAAAAGAATGTCATGAGGCGTATTGGGTACAGGGTGCTAGCAGAAATATTTTTATAATTGAGTTGCTATTCAATGGGTGATGATATCACCTTTACTTCTGAGGACTTTTTCTTGTTGCATATTTTTAGGATGGGTCTAACTGGGAAGCCCAGGTCAGTTTTGAAAATCTGCTTTGATGTGGATTAAAACCCACCAGGACAGATTCAAGCATTCTAGCAACTGCTCTACCAACTCCTCAGTTGCAAATACCATAAAAAATAAACTGTTTTAACTTTTTCTTTTAACCTTCTGATATAGATGCTTGCTTGTCACACAGATTTTAAAAAAAAAATAACAGAGGGCTTCCAAATTGACCCAGTTGAAAATGGGTACAAAAAAGTGTCATGGGAAGTAAAGATGGCTTCATGATGTTGACCGCACCACACATGCTTGCCTTCAGGTAGATTTTTAAAAAGAAATTCGCTTCCAGACTGACCCAGTCTAAAATGGGTATCATGAAATGTAATGGAAGGTCTATGATCATATACCTGAGGCCCCACTGGCATGAAAAGGGTCTCTAACTTCTTTCACTTTCTGTTTCAGATTGTCTTTAGGAGCAAAACTGACCTTGGCCCTTACAAGCATGATGGTGTGCCTAGAGTTTCGGAATATAGACGTCAGTTTCACCCATGGAAATCTGAATCCTTCTCGTCTGATGTAAATCTGAATATAAATAACAATAATAATAACAACAACAGTAATAACAATAACTCAAAGGATAACAAGGCTGAAAGAGAGAGAAAATCTGTGGTAATGTATTATTCTAATTATCCTAATTAATAAATTTTTTGTGAACTTTCAGTAAAGTGATTAAGCAATTACAGTCAGTAACAACTTTATTCAAAATTAAAATTAACATTAATTAATGAACTCGTTCAGTACAAATAGCACTTTGTGTTTAATAGTTATTTATTGCATGATACCTTTTTATTATCTGCTTATGTGTGTGTGTACATGCGTACATGCATTGCACACACATAAATATATATATTTCATCATTATATAGCAGGTCCTTTGAAGAACGTTGCTGTTGTCATAGTCTGCCTGAAAGAAATTCAGCTGCCCCTCATACATTTTTTTCTACTGAAGGTGCCCTTCATGCTGGTTGGCCCCTGCCCCTCTTTCCTGCTATCCACTGTGATGTTTATATATATATATATATATATATATATATATATATATATATATATATATATGTGCACACACACACGCGCGCACACATTTATCCAGCTGCAATGTCAAAATGGTTTGAGTGCTTTCATGTCAAGACAGTGGTGTAGGTTAAAACCCCAACAAATGCATAATTATTCTTATCGGACAAGTGCTGCTCTGACAGTCAAACCATTCTCTTAAAAAAATAGTAAGTATGAAGTAAACGATCCTCTTCCATGTCTTCAGGCTTTATATTGGACATTTACGGCTAGACCTGTGTTTTATAGACACTCATCACTTGGTGGTTGATATAGTCAACATTACCCTGGCTGCCATTACTTTCCAGCCTGGGAGTCAAGAAAATTAAAAACAAAACAAAATATGGGGCTGTCAGGTCCTGAACCCAAACACTTGGGATTCATAGGCAAATGTGTAGCCTCTACACAACAGCAGCTGCAGTGGAAAAAAAAGCAGTACTTAACAATATAATTGTTTGGAAGTGATTGAGAAGGGAACTAGTTATCCCACCTCGTATGTCATTACTCAGAATGTATAAAAACTTGAATCTCCACACTCTAGTTGTAGTGTCTGCTGTAGGACCACCTTTAGCTTGTTATCTCGTAATATGCAAACATCTTCATCATCATGTACTTTGCCTACTGGCATGGGTGATCATGCCTCTCCAAAGCCTCTGCTCTCCAAAACCATATATCAGCTACTGTGCTGATACCCCTCCATGCCATAACAAAAAGGGTGTTGAGAATATTCTCACATTTTCTTCTTCCAACTCTCTTTCCACAAATCTTTCCAGTGGTCACATATTCCAGTTCCCTCTGTTCCTAACATTGTCAAAAATGTTGACTGTCTCCTTCAGAAGTTTATTGTGATAAGTTATCTTTGAACCCTCTCTTCTTTCAAAATATTTGGGTTACTCTTTATATATGATACAAATATGTAATACAAATGCTTTTACACTATAATATTAACCACTATCTTTGCTATTCTTTACACAGGCTAAAAGAAGCAGAAGTGCTGAAGGTAAGTTCTGCTATAGACAAATGTATATCAGTTGGAAGAGATTGCTGTTGATTGTGACAAAGGTATGGTAGGTCAAGATGGTTTATTTATCACAGTAACAGATTTAAATATTTCTGTAATGTGCTAGAGAAGCTAAAGTGGTATGTGGATAGTACTCTAGCTTATAAACAAATATTCCTGGGTTTTTTCCTTCCTTCTTGTCCTCCTCCTCCTCCTCCATGTTTATTGCGTGAGAAAAGAAGACAACAGTCAGTTAAAGACTTTCAGTTTTCTGAAAACATTTCCATTATGGTGATTTGTTGTCACCAAATTATACATCTTTTACTTTTATGTTTTGGACATTTCTCCATGGTTATTTTTTTTTTCATTGTGTTATGTAAACCTCTTCGAGCCGAGGGAGTGCAGTGACTAACATGACTGCCGTCAACCCAATGGTCAGGTGACCAAGTCCCATCAAGGCCAAGAATTTTTATTGAAAAAAATAAAATTTCTCAAGCTTCCAGATTTGCTCAGCTAATAATCTTTACCAGGAAATGTTTTTGGAGGTAAAGTTGCTGGGAGAGTCAGAGCATCTGTAGGTATGCCTAGTATGCTGTGATAATTATCAGTAATGTTGGTAAGAATGAAGTTAACTGCATCAGCCATTGAGTTCTGATTAGTCCCTAAAATTATGGAACGAGCATCTTACACCAGATTTGCTTCAGGGCCGGGAAAAGGGTCCTTTAATTGAACTACAGTAAGTTGCTGTGAAATAATTTGTATCCATATATGAGAGGCTTCAGAAGAAAAACTTAAAAGTGTGATGGAAATTACAGCAACAACGCTTTTGTCTTATAACTTGGTTAGGCACACTGGTCATGAACAGTCTATCACAGAAGTCACGTTGTGTTTGATAAAGCTTCATACTCCACTTATACACTTGCTGGACTAAAAGGCATTTATTGCCATACTGGACCTTCATTTGCCGATGAATTTTTGTAGGTTTCATCCCTTTACTGGTTTAAAAAAAAGGGATAACAGGGATCATGCTCCTTTTTTGTGTGCATGTCAAAAGTGGGACGGCTATCTTTAATTTAAACTATCATTATGGCATCAGAATGTTCATCTGCATCGAGATGTCACATGCTTAACACTCTTGATATCCTTAAGAACAATATGGGCAGGTTACAAAACAGTGGCATGGTTACTGTAATTTCTGTCACAATTTTAAGGTTTTGATATTTGAGCAAATGGGTACATATCTAGTAGTGTGTTTAGCTCACTTCAATTAAGAAACATAATCATTCCCACTAGGGTGGATTTCTTTTATAATTTACCCTGGCTCCTAAACTGACCTAGCCTAAAATGGTTATCAGGAAATGTCCTGATAAATAACAATGGTTGATATGCTGACCACATTACCCATCGAGTTTGATTGGTTTATAGAAATGTCCTGCATCCTATGCCTGATGCACCACTGGTGTAAAAAATGCCCTTACTTTTACTTTTTTTTTTTTTCAATAGCTCACAACATGTTCTTCATGTGTATGTCTAGATCTTTTTTTAAATTTTTTTTTACTTTTTATTATATTGTTGATGTTACTGCTCTCCCTTATTATTAAAGATGTATTTTGTTTTAGTTTAGAAGTTCCTTAATTGTGTTGTTTCCAGCTGTTCCTGACCGTGATGAATCAGTTGATGTAGTAAAGGATCAACAGGCTGCAGAATCTGCTTCCAGTGAGTTGAAATCCAAATTGAAACAAGCATTTGGGAAGTCAAGGTAATATTTTGGGTAGTTTCTCTTTGCACTTGCTAAAATGTTCTTCTCTGATTCACAATAGACATTGTTTTCAGTTTATTATGGATTGGGTCAATTAGGAAACAGCTATGATCAGCTAGACAAAACACAGTAGAGACAGGGTTAGACTAGGAGTTTTTAAAAGATCTCCTGATGGTGGGGAAAAGGGGGGGGGGGGGGGGGGGGTAAATAATGCATCTGTAAGAATAGAAAAGACAGAATTGAGGCTGTATGAATCAAAACTGTTGTACAATGCAGTGTAAAGATAGTATTAGACAGAAAAGAAATTGTGTATAAATCAAGTTTTCTTAAGCAGACTGTACAGAAAGCATTAAACAGACAAGAGATTGTGTGTAAATCACATCTAATAGACCACAGATTGTTAAGTTATAATCAGCTAGAAGAGAAACAATCTATAATCAACTCCTGGGCATACAGTAAGCTCCATTACACATGTAGTCCAAAACATCCTTGACAGCTATAAACTGCTGCAGCATGCAGAAACATGGAAGATTTTAACAAGAACATTATCTAGAGAAATCCAAGGTACAGCTAACAAAGCATGTCAGCAAACAGCCCTTTGAAATCCCTCACAATGGAAATCTCTAACATCACACTTTCAGCAGATCCATAATCTGCAACACAGCTTTCTCTAAAAATGTGTTGAGTTACATTCCTTAATATAACCCACCTGTCCTACCTGTCTGGCTTACTTCCAGTTCAGTATCATATTCCTGTATTTCTACTGTTCACACTTGTTAGATATTTCAAGATTTCAGCTTAGGATAAGTAATTTTATGTATTCTTGTGTGTAATTGTATCATTGTCCGTTTATGTTATATGCCAACAAAAACTCTGTAGCTGCGACGTTCATTTATCTTTTGTGATTGTAATAATGTGAAGCTAACTAGTTCTCCTTCTTATTTGGATGTAAATTTTTGTGTGATACTTATAAACTATTGATTTGCACTCTGAGACACATTTTTTAAAGTATAAGCTTAACTCACACTTTTCTGCATATATATTTTAAAGAGTTCTTTAACAGATTTATTTGTTGTGTGTTTCTTGATTGTTTGTTGTTGTTGTAGCATGTTCTTTCATTTATCTTGTAACCAGATGCATGACCAGTGAATACCGGGCCAACTACAAGTCACCAACAAATTATCGATATGAGAATGGAGTATGGAAGGGAGCATTTCCACCACAACTGGCACCTGATGTTGTAGTAAATAGCTTTTGTCTTTCTCTGCTGTTTTAACTTTCACGTGTTCTGTTTATTTCATAAGTATTTCTATGACATATACTGGTTCCCGATGTGAAGACTTTCACATAGATTTTGTTATAGCATAAGAATATGTAGTGACCAGTATTCTTCCTCACCGTATATTCATCCCAGAAAATTATTACAACTAAATGGTAGTTATTTTATGAGATTGAAGTGAATCCAAGGCTTCATTGGTTGATGTCCGGAAAAACTAAAGGGCTACCACCGCTGGTGGCAGACTTCATGATATTGAAAGCACTATTAGCTCCACTATTTTAGAAAGCTTGTCCAGTTCCATTGGTTATTATTATGATCACTCGGGCAACAAAATCACATGACTGCTTTCACACACAGTGATATTTGACTCTCCTCTGAGTTGCAAAAGAAAGAAAATGGAAGGGAACTGATAACTCTGCCTCAGAGCTTTGGCCTAATTTCTCTTAAACCCCTGGAAGTTCACATCCATGCATATGTTTCTTCTTTGATGTGTTTGGTAATCTGTATTTTTAGCTGTGGAATTTTGTACATAAACATAATAGAAATGTACATTATTTCTTCCTTCTGCTTCTACCTTTTGTCTCCCAGTGGAGCATAGGCTGTCAGTTTTCACACAAACCTTCCTTTCTTTTATTATCTCATTCAGCATATTCCATATCCTCCTTCTTCTTATTCACCCCTGTACCTGATTATTTTCTCTTTACATTTACTCTTCCTGTATCATTTTTGTCATAATAAGTTTTGTTAAATTTGAAGTGTGAAAATGTAGCCAAGCTATAAGCTGATGCATTTATTATATTTATGTAATGTTAAAAATGATAACAATACCCATTTACATATCAGTAAAGCATATTGGGAAAAGTTTTTTGATGCCTCAGTTGTACACATCTGTTTAGCCTGTATCAGTTAACTTAACTGCTGTTACCTAAGATAACTAGTAGACGTTTTATGAGATAAGTTTGATCCAAGAGAGTTTTAAAAAGTTAATTACACTTGTCTTTTTAAAAAATATGTGTCTTATACAAGTATATCTATTTCAAGTCTACATTTTCCTTTGAAATCTTCTGTAGAATAAGAATATGTATTAAAAATTGGAATGTAACATTTTCTGATTTATGAGACATGTCATTTCTGTTGTTACTGCACATTTATAATTAATGACATTTTGAAGTAACTTGGAGACAAAAATAAATTGTACAATTTATTGCCATGCATATGGAAATTTTAGTTTTTGTTGTAAGTGCATCTGTAGTGTCTAAGCGGTATATTTTGTTTGAAACTGTTCAGCTTTGTGCTTCATTATGTTTGGATGTACGCAATAAGATGCAGCAAAATATGCAAGGCAATAAATTGTTAATTGTCTATGTCCCCATTAATTCATTTTCAAAGTAGGAAAATAACAGTGTGTTGCTAAAAAATATTTTGTTTTACCCAGAATGGTGAGGCCGCAGCAAATATAAATGAAAATAACAACAGTAACAACAATAACAACAACAATGCTGACAGTTCTGCTGCTTCAAATTGGTTTGCTGAGGTGATTGAACTACGTCGCAGGGCTGAGGAATACCGCAAGCGTGCACAAGGGACACACTTCTCTCGTGAACACTTGGTTCAGCTGCTGGCCAAACAGAATGAATGCTGGGACTTAGATGCTGAAGCTTCTTCAACGATCAAGGCTTTGAACTTGGAGAAACCTGCTCTCAGAGCTGGGTAGGAGTTCATGTAGACTATTTTAGAAAAAACTTTCTAAGTCTTAGTTTTAGTTGAGGTTTGGACTTCAATGCAATCAGATCAACTCATACTTGCTCCATTCCAACTGCCAGTGAAAATCAAGTAAAATGTCCCTCCTTGTCCCATTTGAAAAACTGGTGAACAACCAGTTAGTCCAGGCATAATCCAGAAAATGTGCACTCAGTAAATACAAATAGCAGTTGCTAGAGGAGCCTTGCTAGACATCGTAAAAGATGGAGTGATGGTATAAAGAATGAACATCAATCTTAATAGTGCTCTTGACAGAGCTCATCAACAAATGTAACATCTTTCCTCCCTTTCGATGAGGTAAAAGGTGGATGAGAAGAATTTTGCAGGGATTAATTATTTGTTTATAAGTTCTCAAATGAGACAGTTAACGGCATTTAATGTGGTTTTCTCAGGCACATGAATGGAGCAACTAGGGGTTGACTAATTGCAGTGAAGTTGAACTATCACCCCGAAAAGGCTAAATCTAATCTCTTCTCATTGGGACACAGTTCCTGTAAATGCTGTTATATGTCCATTTCTACAGTGACCTGTTCTGAAAAAGCATAGTTTTATGCTCTTGGTCTCTGTGTAGTGTCCAGGAGACCCAGTTATGAATATATTAACTAAAGATAACATTTAGTGGGATTTCTCTGGGAATCCAGTAGTTTCAAAAAAAAAAAAACCAGATTGACCTAAAATTTGTCTTTTAAGCCTCATTGATAGAGGTCACAGAATGAGTCACCTGGTACATATTTTAGGCCCTGGGGAAGGCATTTAATTTAATTCTTGACTCTGTTCTTGTTTATGAATTTTTCCCTTTACATATCTTTATGTATTTCAAAGCAAACATTTAACAATTATAGATAAATAAATTTTGTTTAACGATTTATTTAAAGTGTATTCATTCTTGGTAAGTAACTACAGATTATCAACACACCTAAAGTTGCTTGTTTTTTTTTATATGTGGTAGGCTGTAATTACACTTCCTTCAATGATTTTTTTCATTTGTTTCTGACAGCGACTACAAGAATCTTACAGACTCTAAGAATCTTCCAGACTCCAAGAATGTTCCCGATTCCAAGAATCTTCCAGACTCTGACAGTCTGAAAGAGCAAGCACCCAACAGGGAAAGTTCACCTGGTTTGTCTGATGTTGAGGAGATTTTTCAGGAGAAAGAGACACCGGAGAAAAGTAAACAAACTCAGAATTTGCAGAAAGGAAGAAAGTATGGCCAGAATAGGAGAAGCAGAAAGATGGCATGGCTAGAAGAACAAAAGGAGAAGATAGCCCAGCAGAGAAGGTAAAATATTTTGCTGACAAAAATAATAAGTTGAAGTTAATTTGCTGTGTGCAGCTCAGCATTATTTTGCCCTACTCTGTTTTCCTACTGCTGTTTATGTTTTTCTACGACTGTCTGTTTTAATGTCTATTTCTGTTTTTCTGTCACTATTTCTGTATCATAAACTGAATTGTAATCAGTATTTTCTACTACCGCGGGTCTGTTTTTTTCTACCACTATCTGTGTATCACAAATTGAAATACAATCACTTACTTAGATAGCATTTACAGGAGTTGATATAATGCAGCATCTATAGAACTGATTAAAACAACTTGGCCAAAAACTCTGTTGCTCCTGCCACAGTTGTTAAATACAAAACCACTCATATTCCAACTTCCTTGGTTATTTAATTTGTCCATCTTTATCTGTTGTCCATATTCTACTTTGTGCCACTAGGCATGGTAAACAAATGATCAGTATCTGAGCTAGGACGTGTTTAGTTCCCCTGTATTCTGTGATGTTGTGGAGTCTGAAGGTATCAGCCACTTCTTTAGTCCATCTTCTTCTTGGTCATCCCCTACCTCTTGGTATTCCTACTTTCATTTTGAATGCTGTCGTTGCTGGCATCATTAGATTCATTCTCGTTAAATGACCAATCCATTTCAATAGCTGTTGTTAAGTGAATTTAGTTATAGGTGTTAATACATTAGTTCTTGAAAATTCTTCATTTCTCATATGATCTCTGCTAGTTTTGTTCACTGCCTTTCTCAAACGTTTCATTTTTCAAGTGGTCAGTTTTCTTCCATATTTATTAGTCAGCATCCAAGTCTGACATTAATAACACAAGTAGTCTTACATTAATAACACAAGTAGTCTTACATTAATAACACAAGTGGTCTTACATTAATAACACAAGTAGTCTTACATTAATAACACAAGTAGTCTTACATTAATAACACAAGTAGTCTTACATTAATAACACAATTATTCTTACATTAATAACACAAGTATGAGGTTGAAATTGCATTTATATTGTGTCTTTTTTGTTTCTGCTGGGATGGCCAGAGGTTTTCAAAATTGTGGTCAATTGAGACTCTGCATATATCAGTTTAATAAAGATGTCAGTCAGTTTTCCTTCTTTTTGTTCATAAAGGTAAAAGTAAAGTCAGGAGATGTGAACCAGTGTCATTGCACACGGTTATAAACCATAAGTGCTCTGCCACCAGTACGGACAGCTGATAAGAATTGTCCGCCTGTGTCGCCATTCGCACGTAACTCTGTAGCTACAACGACATTCCTCCATTTACCCCAGAGTGTCAGTTCTGGTACCAATTTCCTAAAGGCTGGGTAAACCCCGGGAACCACCCGGTTTCAAACACCGACCGTGGCTGCAGCTAGTCGCAGCTGGATTTGAAAGCGAGTCTCCTATCGACTACACTAAAATTTTGTTCATGCCATGTTGGGCTGATAATCATATCTGTCCCTAACCTGTTTCATAAACCATCATTTCTGATACTGTTCTTCTTCTGTGATGACAAACTTTCTGCATCTTCCTTTTCTGCATTGGCCCTTGAAATGATGGTGGCATGTTTTGTCATGGTTTACAGCTCGGCTGTGATTTCTAAATTAGGTGCCAAAACCAGCATGGGGGTGCCAAACTGACTACCATCTTCTCTCTTGATCTCCCTGTAGCTCTCTTCTCCTTTGATTTTTGTTGTTGTTACTACTTACTACTTTTTTTCCCCTTCTCACATGGGACGCAAAGAATGTAGAATGTCTGTTTCTGCTGTAATATTATCAACAACAAAAAATAAATTTTCAAGCATAAACCTTCAGACAACCCCATAATATGCATACTCTATTTATTCTTAACATGTAGTTGTATTTCCGACTAACCCTGTTTATTCAGTAAGGATAATAGGGGCAAAAGCATCCTGGATAAACTTCTGTCTTTTTATGATGAATTCTTTAGTTTTTCCACAACAACATAATTTGATCACATTTTGCAGGAAAGATTGGTAGTAAACTCCCATAAATTGCAGGAAAAGGCAACTTTGGACAGCTGATGTAAGAAGCTAACTAATCCTTTGGAAAACTTTATGTGTAAATCTAACCAATTAGAAACAAAAACACACAGGAAAAGTAGAATATTGTGCACTGTAGATAACCTGTTTGTTAATATGTGTCACATATAAAAGGATATAACGGGTTGTCATTTGTCGCCTCTCCTATTTTTACTGGCATTAGACTAGATTATGAATACAGCAACCGCTAACTACGAGATCACAACAGCTTGGTCTGAAAATCCATAAGAGAAAGACAAAGATAATGAGAATAAATCAGGCAAATAGTAATGTGGTTTCTGTAAATGGTATCCCTCTCCAAGATGAAGAGTTGTACACATATTTGGGAAGTATTGTTTGTTAATATGTATCACATATAACATGAAATGCTCATATATGAAAAGTTTTGTCATAACCAAATTCATTTTCCTTGTTTACTCTAGGAGACTGGAGAAAGAAAAGGCCAGAACAGAACAAGATGAGGATGATGATTTGGATAGAGTGCCTGCTGAGAACTTAAAGGCACGGCTGCCAACTCCTGTCCTGCAGCAAAGTGTGTCACCAGTCAGGAGACATCATTTAGATCTGACAACTCCATGTGTAGGTGGTGCTATGCTGACTTGCCCACCAACCAGGCAAAGCAAGATACTAGTTACATCCCGAAGTGGTTTGTTCTTTAATCATTTCATTATCATTAGCTATCATAGATTTCTGTTCTTGTAACCTTTGAAGCTTCTTATCATCATCAAGTGACATCTTAGCATTAGAGGTCAGCGTGATGCATTAGAAAGTTGAACTGAAGCCTTTGAGATGTGGATAGAAGAATATTTTGTGTGTCATGGAAACTACATCAGTCAAATTTCTCCATGTGGGTTCCAGGGCCTTAGTGCGAAGAAAACAAGAACAGACCGACTGCCCCCTTTCCAAAAGACTCTTGCATGATTCGACCAATGGGGGTTCCTTCAAAGTCGGAGCGCAGTCAATGAGAGAAACCAACAGTCTGCATAACATTAATCGGTCTGTAAAACACATGTGCACTCAGATTCTGGAAGAAAGACTAAAGTCTAGTGGCGGACATAGCTCCAGAACTTTTCCCCAGAGTTTGTAGCGGGTGACCACAAAGAAAAAGAAGAAGAAAATATTGAACTGTACAGCTTCATATCGAGCCTGTGACCACTGAACTTAGCAGGCAAGCATGTTAGCCACTGTGCCACCACCATGGCTGCCAAACATTTACTTTTGCATTCCTGTAAATAAAGCCTGTGATTGAGGCATATCAAGTTATGCAACATGATGATGCAACCCAGAGGTGCGAGAAATGAGCGTTCATTCCATCAGAGGTACAAGACTTTTGATTAATCAACACATAATGGTGTAATCAGTCCTTTCATGCCTTGTGGAGCTTTTGAGAAGGGGATCAGAGCACCTTTTGATCTGCCCAGTATGCTGTGATGATAATCAATACTAAAGCATTTATGTTTACAGAGAAGGGAAAAAAAAGATCTGAAATAGAGATGGTATTAAAGGAATCCAACACACAAAGAATAACTTCATGGACACCTTTGGCTAAAAATAGAGAGAAATAAGTTGGTTCAGCAGGCGTCAGACCTCAGAAATTTCTTTTGCTAGCTTGAAATAAAAAGTTTAAAAAAAAAGAGAAGAGAGAGAGAGAGAGAGAGAGAGAGAGAGAGAGAAAGGGGTGACCAAGAAACATATATAGTTTTACAGGAATCAAACAGTTGAATGATCGATTACTTTGTCCCCTCCAGGCTGCTACCTAAAGATTTGCTATACCATCCTGAGATTTTTTTTTTATGAATCTGACTTTGGTCTGCAGAGCTTCTGGTGTAGATTCTGGGACACTGTGGTTTCCAAAGCAAGGGCTTGTTGCCTTATTGAGCACATTGAAAATGGCTTGTCTGGTTTCTATCTTTGTATCGCACAGTGTGATTGTTTACAGCAGTGAGCATACAGATTAACTGGTGGACCCTGTGATTACTATACTATGACTGGTCCCCACTGGAGAGGAATTATGTCACTGGTGCTATGCAAGATGCATATCATGAAGACGTTTACAACAGGCGTGACTCTTCATCCATGTCCCAGGTTGATAGATCTAAGGGTGCAGCCTGGAGACATCAGGCATGACTGTTTCACTAAGAAAACGAGAGGCTTGATAGATCAACATAAAACAGATGTCAGTAGGTGGTTATTGACCAGATTATTGGAACACCTGTGAATCTGTCTGTAGTGTTGTGTTGATGATCAGATGATTGGAACACCTGTGAATCTGTCTGCAGTGTTGTGTTGATGACCTAATGATTGGAACACTTGTGAATCTGTCTGCAGTGTTGTGTTGATGACCAGTTGATTGGAACACTTGTGAATCTGTCGGCAGTGTTGTGTTGATGACCGGATGATTGGAACACCTGTGAATCTGTCTGCAGTGTTGTGTTGATGACCGGATGATTGGAACACCTGTGAATCTGTCTGCAGTGTTGTGTTGATGACCGGATGATTGGAACACCTGTGAATCTGTCTGCAGTGTTGTGTTGATGACCGGATGATTGAAACACCTGTGAATCTGTCTGCAGTGTTGTGTTGATGACCGGATGATTGGAACACCTGTGAATCTGTCTGCAGTGTTGTGTTGATGACCAGTTGATTGGAACACTTCTGAATCTGTCTGCAGCGTTGTGTTGATGACCGGATGATTGGAACACCTGTGAATCTGTCTGCAGTATTGTGTTGATAACTAGATGATTGGAACACCTGTGAATCTGTCTGCAGTATTGTATTGATAACTAGATGATTGGAACACCTGTGAACCTGTCTGCAGTATTGTGTTGATAACTAGATGATTGGAACACCTGTGAATCTGTCTGCAGTGCTGTGTTGATGACCAGATGATTGGAACACCTGTGAATCTGTCTGCTGTGTTGTGTTGATGACCAGATGATTGGAACACTTGTGAATCTGTCTGCAGTGTTGTGTTGATGACCAGATGATTGGAACACCTGTGAATCTGTCTGTAGTGTTGTGTTGATGACCAGATGATAGGAACACCTGTGAATCTGTCTGTAGTCTTGTGTTGATGACCTGATGATTGGAACACCTGTGAATCTGTCTGCAGTGTTGTGTTGATAGTCCTGACTAATCACTTGCCCTATTTTTATTCTATATAATTATTTCTATTATTTTCATGACATGAACATTCAGTTTTCAGTATTTTATTTTTAGGACACAGCTATGTGACTCCATCAGATGATTATCCTGCTAAATCATTGCAAAAGGTATTGTATGCTAATTTAGATGGCACTTGCTTTTTGATGTAGCATGAATAGATTCTGTATGTTGTTTGCTTATCATGCAACCCACTTTGCATGTGTTGCTTGTTCTTAGTAGATAAATGACCAGCTCATCATCTTCAAGAATAATCCTGTTTTTTACAATTAGCTCCTTCTGATGTTTAAGGCAGCCACTTTTCTTGATTCATGATGTCATTTTATGTACTTTACATTTTCTATATTCACTTTCATTGCTGCTGGTATTAGTTACTGTTTTGATTATCACTAGGGAAACATTGTGGCGATGTGGTTTTTGTGTGTCCATCTGAAAACCTCAGTAGAACTTTTTAGATCCACAAGTTCTAAAAACCTTCAGTTTTATATGGGGAAAAAATGAAATTATTCATTGATGGGAGTATAGACTTCATTTGTTTTGATCTTTTTCTTCTTCTTCAGCATTCCAACACTTGAGGTTCATTGTTGCAGATATTACCTGCCTCCATTCATCTTTCCATATGTTCATTCCAGGTATTTTAAAGGTCTGCCTGTTATCTCTCCAACATGTTCTTGGTCTGGCTCATGGTCTTCTGTCATTAAAATTTTTTTTTATGTGTGCTCAGTTTTTTGCTTCTCTGTTATCTGCCATTCTCTCTGTATGCCCCAACCATTGCAGTCTGTTAGTCTTCATTATGCCAGTAATTAGTAGTGATATAAACAGATTATACATTTTATTGCTGCTTCTCTCTCCGTTCTCCACTGTTTGTATCTTTGATTCCTTGTATGGGTTCTAGGAGCCCCCCCTCCCCCCCCCTATGGGGGGAAAAAATAGACCCACTGCCCGGTAACAAGCATATTGTAAGAGCTGACTAATTAGGAATGATTTTTCCTTAGAGTCTAAGTACATCTGCCTGAGAGGTGAGGAACTAACAGTCTGTATACCAATAAGCCAGATCTGTAAAACAGATGTGCATGCCACATCTTATGTTCTGACACAAGACTTAAGTCTAGAGGTGGGTGAACTTCCAGAACTTTCTGCTGGAACTTACAGCCGGTGAATTAAGAAGAAGAGAGGTGGGTAAAAGATGGATGTAAATATTCTTCTATTGTTGTCATGATTATTTCAGACTTATGATGTTGATAAGCTAAGGACTATGCCTATTTATGGAAGACCTTCAGATGACACACACTACCTTAGGAATGACTCTGCTGTAGACTCTGACAAACCTCTGAAGACCCAGTATGTGGCATCTCCTCCCTTATATGACAGTGATGATGGTGAGTGTACTTTTAGCATTATTAATGCAATTGAAATTTTCCCCTGTAGAATTGGCACCTCAAGGATGAGAATCCTACATTCACGAATCCCGGTTAGCCTCGTTCAACTGTAAGGTTATATTAGGGTAAGAAGAAACCCTGAAGTTCCGGACTTGTCAGGGATGACTGCGTTATCATGTACCTTACTAGCTGATGTAGATCAGGTGTGAGGAACATTTTCTTTTTCTATCAAAGACCATTTGGATATTTAGATGATGCACTGCCTCATGTAGGTTCCAGGGCCCCCTTGTAGGGGAAATAGACCTTCTGCTCCTCTAGCAAGCCTGTTGTAAAAGTCTATTATTTATGGGTGTTTTCTTCAAAATCATATTGCACCTGAGAGGCAGTGAACCAGGTGTCTGCATACAGATAAGCCACATCTGTAAAGTAGGTGTGCATGCAAAACTAAAATTCTGGAACAAGCCTGAAGTGCAGAAGTGGACCAACAACCAGAACTTGGCCACCAGAGTTTACAGCTGGTGAATGCTAAGAAGGAGATTACCTGCCACTGTTCATAAAACAGTTCCATCACTTTCCGCTCAGTAATAAAGCAGATTGTTCAGAATTCACCGTACAATCTTCACTGATGGTATTCACTATCTCCTGAAGCCAGGATGCATGTAGCTTGTCTACAACAATTTCTTTTGATTCACCTCCAGGTGAATGCTTGCTTCCTAATAGTTCCTTTTAAAATTAATTATGTCTCACCTGCTAATATACTTTTTATATGCTTCTGATAAAGCTACCTTCAAATGCATGTGCTCAAGATAAGAAGAAAGAACACAATCAAATTCAGAGTAGTAACACTCAGGACAAACGATCTAGCCCGACATTCAAAATGGCTGCACTAAATATCTGTGGTTTAGGGCAAACAGAAGTGGAAATTGTGAATTTCCTGGGGGGGGGGGGGGGGGGGGGGGGGTGTACAGGAAACTACATATAACTCCTCTCTGAGATACTTTACGACTTAAGGAGTAGGACATCAGAAGAAGAAGAAAAAGAAAATATGGTGATAGGTTTCATTTGATTATGCCTCATATTTTATTGTTGATAGTATCTTCCTTTAAAAACACTCAGATTCTGTAAATTCTCGTACTGTTTCATCGTGTAGATTTAATATCATAAATCAGTCTTTCAGATTTGTTTGGTCCTCAGAACTTCTTCTTGTGCGATCTCTGGTCATGCGCATAATCTACTGTGAGCCATAAACTAGGATGTCTTTTCAAGGTCTCTTAGGTTTCCCCAAAGCTTAGTTGTCAGTTCTACTGGGTGTTGCCATATTTTGCTCCGCCAAGAGTGGGCAGTCTTGCATGACATGTTCTGGAGTCTGTTCAGCACGAAGACACTGGCAGAGAGCTGTTTGGCTCATACCTAATTTATATAAGTGTTTATTGAGTCTGCACTGTCCAGTACGTAAGAGAAAAACTGTGTCTTGGTCTGTCTGTTCAGGTGTTTCAGAAAATCTTTTTCGTAGTTATAACCACTGTTGGTTTTCCAATCCGTTTCTGATTTTCTCATAATGAGAATTTTGACTTCTGGAAAAGATAGTGGCTGGTTTGTTACTGCCTTCCTTGGCTAAAGCATCAGCGCTTTTATTGCCTTTGATGCTACAGTGAGATGGAATCCACTGCAAGTAAGTTTCTGCTTTTTTTTTTGAACAACATAGCAAGTTCCTTTGTTAGACTTTGTAGTGTGCTGTCGGTAGGTTTGGACTCAAGGGCCTGTATGGTCCTCAGAACAAGTTTAAGGGATTTAGTATATCATTTATGAGCCTGTACTTTATAACTCTGCTAATCTCTTATAAAAAAGAAGTTTGTGTGAAAAAAAAATATGTAGTTATATATATATGTATGTGTGTGTGTATACCTAAATATATATTTCTATATGACTATTAACAAGTTTCAGGTAAGATACTTTCAGACCTTAGAAAATAATCTTAGCTAATTGGGAAACAGTATAACACATAAATAAATATTTCTTATGAATACATCACTCTCAGTTCATACCATACCAGAGCCTTTAGGGAAAGCAAAGAATACGGCACTTTACGAAGAATGTTGTAAGAAACATCTAGAAAAAAAGTTTCGGCTTGAGGTTGACTGGCTCATCTCATAGAAAGCTTCAGCTGCAAAAGCCAGCCATTAGTGAATCATTTAAAAAATGCTTAGATTAGTTGTTTAAAGGTCTCTGCTCTGGTGGACGATACATGTAGAAGAAAGAAAGACATGAGCCTTTATCATCAAGTCTGTCTGTGTGTGAGTTATCCTAAAACAGCTTACTGTTTTGATCTGAACAGATAAAGAAAATCAAGAAAGTCAACAGGACCAGAAAAAGTCGAAACAATCCAGCAAAAAACTGAAAGCTGGTGAGCTGACAGCTGTACCAGAGGGATATGGTAGAACTTACAATCTATCGAAGCCATTCCTAAATCTTGGTAGGAGATTTCCTTGTATATTCCTCATGACTGTTTTTTCCTTCTTTTTTTTTTTTCTTCATACAAAAATTGGCTTTATCTGTTAAGCTTGTTTCTCAAGAATTTTTTTAAAAATTGAACTAAAATTAAAAGGATTGATTTCATTGCACAAGTTGTTTGTCTCATATGACTCAGGGCACAAGTTTTTATCTCATATGACTCAGGGCACAAGTTTTTATATCATATGACTCAGGGTACAAGTTTTTGTCTCATATGACTCGGCACACGTTTTTATCTCATATGACTCAAGGGACATGTTTTTATCTCATTTGACTTAGGGCACCAGTTTTTATCTCATATGGCTCAAGGGACATGTTTTTATCCCATTTTACTTAGGGCACCAGTTTTTAACTCATTTGACTTAGGGCACCAGTTTTTATCTCATTTGACTTAGGGCACCAGTTTTTATCTCACATGACTCATTCTCTTCATAGAACAACTAGCTGCCTAATAAGAGCATCACACAACGCATGAACTCTAATGTTGAATGTTGAATTAAGAATCGACATCACTGCCATAAGTGCTCCATCCCTATGTTCTGCAGCGAGCGAAGAGTTCCAATTCATATAGCACCAGTAACCATCTAATTGTATATCGGTCTCATCCTTCACCCTGAGTGTTGAGCGTCAGTCAGATCCCCTAGTAACTCCTTGCAGTGCCATTCCCCTCAGGCCATCATGATTTGCCTGCGCCTCCGCACTGTTCACACGCTCCCAAAGGGCCCTCACAACATCTACCTTGTCACACATCATTTCACCACCAAGTGGTGCAGAACCAGCCAGTCTATCTGCCTGCTCATTTTCCCAACACACCAGCATCACCTGGAGAAAATATCCAATGGATGCGAACTACCCAGGACCTCTGAAGTGATGCTTGCCATTCTGCCATGAAGCATACTTGTCTTCATCTTTCTCAACATGATCTGTGAGTCAGTTAAAATCATGGCGTGTGTAATTTTCACTATAGATAATATAAGAATGCATAGATAAATTGACGTAAAATATGCAGAGACAGATCAGATGCTGGAACAACTAACACCACTTCCAGCACTCAGAAAGATACCTTTGTCTACCAAACAAATCTCATTAGAATTTATGACAAATATTATGGTAAAATAATCAGACTTAGGTACTTATTACAACTGATGAGTGGAGAATCACCAGAGATGACAACTGCTGGAGTAACAGGAAGAGATAAAATTACAAAAACTGATGAAATTAGAAGACTAGGACTGAAACCAGTCAAACAGTACATTCAAGAGCAACAGATGAAATGGCCTGGTACAAACTACCACATTAAAAAGCAACAGATGAAATGGCCTGGTACAAACTACCACATTAAAGAGCAACAGATGAACTGGCCTGGTACAAACTACCACATTAAAGAGCAACAGATGAACTGGCCCCATGGCAAGCACAAACTACCACATTAAAAAGCAGTCAGATGAAACCTGGCCCTGAGTACAAACTACCACATTAAAGAGCAACAGATCTGGCCTGGTACAAACTACCACATTAAAGAGCAACAGATGAACTGGCCTGGTACAAACTACCACATTAAAGAGCAACAGATGAACTGGCCTGGTACAAACTACCACATTAAAGAGCAACAGATGAACTGGCCTGGTACAAACTACCACATTAAAGAGCAACAGATGAAATGGCCTAGTACAAACTACCACATTCAAGAGCAACAAATGAAATGGCCTGGTACAAACTACCACATTAAAGAGCAACAGATGAAATGGCCTGGTACAAACTACCACATTAAAGAGCAACAGATGAACTGGCCTGGTACAAACTACCACATTAAAAAGCAACAGATGAAATGGCCTGGTACAAACTACCATGTTTAATTAGTAATCAACATCACAGCACTCTGTCCCCATCTTCAGCAGCAAGCACAGAGTTCCAGTTCCAGTGGTGCCATTAGCAGTCTTATTGTGTATCCATCTCACCTTTTCCTCGAGTGCTGATCGTTGACCCGATTGCCTTGTCACTCTTCACAGTACCCTTCTCTTCAGACCATGATGATCCATCTGTGCTTGGACACTGGTCACTCGCCCCCAAAGGGTTGTTCCAGCATCTAGCTTGTCATGCATCAATTCACCACCAAATTGTGCAGAACTGGCCAGTCTTTCTGTCTGTTCATTTCCTATGTTCATTTCCTAATACACCAGCATTTCTTGGGGACTGCCATGAAGTTCCAGAAGATAAAGAGAGAGGGTGAAAGTAAGACCACACAAAATACGGAATGATTGCATTAACCCTACCAGACCTGAGGCCCTGAACCTAACTGTCCCTATAACCTGAGCTCCTGGGCACTAACACGAAAAAACCAACATGATGTACACAAAAAAAAATTAGTTACATGCAAACAAGTGGTTAGAATAAGATAAAACTTGGAGACATTGTAGAAAATAGGTTTACCTTTCATACAGCGCCAATAATCCACCTAGAAGGATCAGTCTTGTTTCACAAAGTAAGCACCAGATGTTGCTGTTTGAGGGACACGCCCACTTCTCTTACTATTTATCTAGTTTTAAATCTATAATTTTCATAATTCTCCTCTCTAGCTCTCACTGACTGTCACTTCAACTCGGAATGTATTCTTCTTGAACATATTCAGTCTGAATTAACCAAAGTGTCGATCACTTGTTGGACTGTGAAAAGCCTAGACCTACGTCACTTTCTTGTCGAAGCCGCTCGTTTCATTGAGAATTTTCTGAATTTTTTTCACATCAGACCGCACAAAGAAATCTCAACACACGTGGGAAGTCATTCGCAATGACTAACAACGAAGTTTGATGGCGATTGGCTGGTTATTTTTAGTCTGCGACGCATATTTTTCACCTACCAAGTAAATTCCCAGACAATGGGGCCAGTGGTATAGCGGCAGGTTAGGAAATTCCTGGAAAACGGGCCAGCGGTCTGGTAGGGTTAAGATCAGCCTTACAGAAGTGAAGACCAGCCTGCGAAGGACAACAGAAGATTTTTTTTACATCTTTCCCCACTTTTCTTAGGTAACTTGAAGAAAAGATGAAAATGATTTAGTCAAAGTAAGTGTAGAATTCCATCACTTGTATAGAATTGTTTTATCATACATTTTGTACTTTACAATTAAGTAAATGTATAATCTCCAACAGATGACATAAGAAGCAACTTTGATCAAAAGGACGATGATGTTATGTCAGTGTCACTGATGTCTGTGGCTTCAAGCTGCTCCCTAGCTTCAGATGTCCTGGAGAGAACCAAGAAAAGACAAAACTTCTGGAACAAAAAGACATAAAGCAGCGTCCATTAGTTTTATAAGGAATAGTACTCACCTTCACTTATTTCTGGCAGAAGTGCCTTTTGAAAACCAAAATGGGTGTCCTTGGTAAAATTTCTTCATCCGTCCATACCTTCTTTTTTGACACATAGCTCAGAGAATATATTTGTTTTAATGTGTGAGATTTTATTTTAAAAACTGATATAAATATTTATGAAATTGTTATGAGCTGTCCAGACAACATTGAAAAGTTGTGAGAATAGCGTGTCCAGACAACATTGAAAAGTTGTGAGAATAGCGTGCATGTAGCAGCATGATAAACTAATTGATATGTTCAATACAGTGTTTCCCTATTGCACATTCAAATAAGGCGGACACAAACAATACATTTGCAGATCATTTCCTGAATATTTTGCTGTTATCTCCTCAAGCGCATTCTTCTTCTTTTTCTTCAGCATTCTGAGCCCTTGAGGTTCACTGCTGCAGTTATCACCAGCCTCTATTCATCTCTCTGGTTGGCCTTATCTTTCTAGTTGGGGACACCAAGTGTTTTCAGGTCTGTCTGGACATTATCTCTCCATCGTCTTCTTGGTGTGCCTCGTGGTCTATGACCATTCATCTCCCTTGTGTACACAGTTTTTACTTCTCTGTCATCTTCTCAATGTGCCCCAACCATTTCAGTCTGTTAGCTTTCTTGATGCCAGTGATCACTGGTGATTTAAACAGATTATGAATTTTGTTGTTGCTTCTCACTTCTCAGGTGCATTACTAGAGTTAAACCAGCATATAACCAAGCACAGAAATGCATTTTTAGCCACTAAACGACTATGTGATTCAGTGAAAAAAGGTTTGTGTTTGTGCTTCCTTATATGTTGATGTTGTAACTCTATAATAATGCACCTGACAAGATGAGTGAAGCAGGGTGTGCCCCAAAAGTTTCCATACGTAGGAAAAAAATATTTTTAAAAATGAAAACCATTTTTATTAAAATAATATGCTCTATTTGACTCTATTGTTTTACAAACACATTTCCATGGTCCTTCCACTACTGAAGAACATTTATAAGAGTTGTGCTTGTAACAACGTTGGTGATGTGTTTATTTTTCCTATGTATGGAAGCTTATGGGACACCGTGTATACCAGGAAATAAATTATGCAGTGTATTGCTTGTGTCCACATTATACAGATTGGTATGTAGTGACTGGCACTCATAGACACAGAAGAAAGAAGTATAGACAGGAGGACATATCTGTGAATGCTGATCAGTTATCATGCTGTTTCAGGGGCCTCTAGAGTTCCTCAACAATTTATTTCCTTGTATTGCATGTTGAAGTATACTGATTGTGTTATTCTTGTTACTTTGTCAGTTCAAATTGTAACTCATCTGACAACTGTAGTCTGTATTTACTGTTTTAACTTTAAATATATTTACATAAGCGTGCAACATAATTTATTATAAGAGTGATTTTTAATTTGTCTTTGTCAGTTTAAGCTGTAACTTACAGTGTATTTAATGTTTTAACTGTCACATTTGTAATATAAGCAAAAGACAAGTTATGAATTATTATAAGAGGGTCTAGCTCTTCTTTATCAGATCGTTATTTTTTTTTCCCCTCTGTGGCTTAGAAATTAGTAAATTTGTTTCAGTCCTCATCATATCGGGGTTCGATTCCCACAGCAGGCACTTTAAAAAAAGGACTATTCTTTTGGTTTTGACATTGGGAGAGATTGAGGCTTCACCGTGTAATACTCCAGAAAAAAAAACTGAATACACATATCCAATAATTTTTACAACATAAACATTTCTGTTTTACTTATAAAAAAGTTAAATTTACATCTTTTTTTAATTATTAAAAGAAAAGTAACATTTTACCTGTAACTTAAGCAGAATTACCTTATTTATTAGATGAATTATTAATCCTTTTTGTTTTTTCAATAAAGCGCTTTGAAGTAGCATTCTGTGATATTACTACATATTTGTATCTTAATTATATTTCTAATTTTATTATTGTGATTTCTTATTTTCCGGCTTTTATAAGCTAACTCGAGAGGACTGTAGTAGCAAATGGCTAGTCATCTGCCTGCCAACCTGAGGCTTTGTGTTCAAACTGGCATTGAAATAGATTTTATAACATTGACCTGGCTTCTAGGTCAACCCGGCCTGAATTGGGTGCCAGGAAATGCTGTGGGAAGTAAAGGTTGCTGACATGATGTTGACTTCATCACTGATTGAGTGCCATTTGGTGTATAGAAATATGGGTTTGAATCATATGCTTGATGTGCCATTAATGTAAGAAAAGTTCTTTACTTTATAGGTTAACCAAGGTTTTTAGTTTTTATTTGAAAATAAACTTGTATGTTGGTTAAAATGTGAACAATTGTTTTTCTATATTAGTTGGTATTAATGATATTTGCAGGGAGTATTGTGAACATGGCTATACGTGAAATGCTGATAAATATAAATGTCAGACCATTCAGTGATAACATTGACTATTGGAATTTCATCGAATGTTGTAGAAGGAGGCTAGACAGTTAGTAAACAAGCCACACACAAAATTTTTATTGAGGCCTTGAAAATGGTTTTTGTGTGTGGGGAATGCTTAAAATTATTGGACAGCCTAAATGAGCAATCTAGATGTTTGTAAAGAGCAACAAAGATCAAAGACAACATATTGCAAACAGTAGAAAGAGACGGGCTTAATTTTGTTTTTTTTAATCACATGACGACAAGAAAGAAACCGGAACATACTGTGAGATTTGAAAAGATTTGAAGTAAGAGAGATAAGAGGAACACAAAACGAGAAGATTCTTGGCAGCCTTTTGTCATAGCATGGAAGGGTGTCAGCACATGAACTGATACATGCTGTTGAAAATGGCGGATTGTATAGAGGTAGGATCGTGCAATCACTGGCAAATGTTCTCAGAGTAAGCCGATGGAGATGGCTTGGACATGTTTGCAGAATGCCTTGTGATACTCTAGCAAAAACAGCTCTCCAGTGGACAGCAGATGGGAAAAGGAGACGTGGACGACCTATGGAAACCTGGAGAAGGACAATAGAACGGGAAATAAAGGAATGTAAACTGACAAGGGATACCATAAGCAGAAAAGCAGCAGACCGACAGCAGTGGAGATCACTTGTGAATGCCTTGTGTGTCAACAGCGACATGAAGTCGATATAGATGATCCTGCAGGCTACTTGATCATGATGATAAGGATGAGGTAGACGTGGAATAATTACACAGAAGGATGGCACAGTCTTGCTCAGCCAGCTTGATAAGACTTTCATAGCTCAGCATCCTCACAAGGTTGGTGTTGATGTCTCTCCACAGAAGGTAATGGAACAGTCATAGATGTTTTGTTAACACAACTGACATTACTGCACACAAGGAATTTCCATGTCTGCACAGGTCTCTGATGCAGCACCCAAACCAACCTGTCAATACTCACTGTCCTCATGAGAAGTTGGTTATGTCTCCAGCTTGATTTCAAACATGGCATAGCTGCTTGACCAGGCTTCACCCATGGTGAGATAATTTGGTTTGAGCCAGAGACTTGTCAGAATCTGCCAACTTAGTCCATACAGCGTTGACTGCATCAGCTCTGCCTGTGCTTCTTCCTGTCTGAATTAGTGCATTACTTTTATGGATCCGCTTGTCTATTAACATTTATTCCAGCATGCCCATCTTTGAAGAATCAGATGAGGAAGGTAAAGTATGGTTCAAGTAAGAAGTCTTGGATTTTTTTTCTGTTCACCCTTAGAAAGTTCTGGTTGTTCGTCCACTTCTGGACTTTGGTATCGTTCCAGAACATGAGTTTTGAGTGCACACCCACTCTACAGATTTGGGGTATTTGTGTGCAGACTGTTGCTTCCTCACCTGTCAGGCAGATATGCTCCAACTTCAAAGGAAACACCTCAAATTAGTCAACAACTAATATGATGTGCTTATTATCCTCCCCTCCCCCCCCCCCCTCCCTCCCTCCCCCCCCCCCCCCCCCCCCACACACATGGGATCCGGGCACCTGCACATGGATTCTTGGCTTTGATTCCCTGCAGTACCAGTATACTTTACTGGCCACACTGGTCCTGGAGTCGACCCAACCTCTTAGTTCAGTTACCACATCAGAGTAAGGGACTCCTTTTCACACCAGTGGCATATTAGGCATTTGATGTACTGTCAGCACTTGATGGGTGGTGTGGACAACAATACCCCTGCTGTCAAGTACCATGAAATTGTACCTTCTCCTTCTTAGCATTCACCGGCTGTGCACAAAACTCAGGAACATCCAGCAGTGGATGAACAATGGGAACTTTCTGCCAGAGTTTCAGTCAGTTAGTTAGTTAGTAGCATGTCCTTTACAGAATCTTGCTCCCATAAAAAAAAAAAAAAAAAAAACCTCTCGATCACAAGCAAGAAGTCCTGTGTCTGATTCACCCATTTGGAGATCATCCACCACGTCCTGCACTCATCTTCTCTTTGGCCGTCCTCTTCCTCTCTTCCCAGGCATATACCTCTGCACTGTTCTCTCCAAACTTTCATGATGTTTCAAGTGACCAAAATATTTAAATTTTCTGTGTTTTACTGTCTTTATTAGCCAACTTTCTCCAGTATTCACTTCTTGAAGTGGATGCATTTGTTCTTTTCTTTACCCATGATATTCTTAGAAATGTCTAAAAAATTTGTATTCAGCTTGTTTAGTAAGTGTCCAGGCCTTACAGGCATATGTTGCAATGGGAAAGATGCATGCTCTTACAAATCTGATTTTTGTAGTTCTGTCTGTCCCACTCAATAATTTATTCAGTTGTTTTAGTCTTTGAAGTGCAATTGATAGTCATCATTTAATTTCTTTCATTGTGTCACCATTGTTGGTAATCAATGACCCAAGATATTAATTTTCCACAACCTCCAATCTTTCCTCATTAACGCATATTTTTTCTCCATGGTAGTTTAATCTGTATGCATTATCTTTGTTTTTGTTAAGATATGAGTTGTGATTTTCACTATGCCAGAGCTGACAGCTGGTAAATGCAAAGAAGAAGAGACAGACTATACCATCTAACATGTGCTGGCTAATTTATTCAAATATGCAGCTAGCATCATATGCCTGATAGCCCTCAATGCAAGAAAGGTCTCCTTTACTTTTAAACTGACCATATCCTCACGTTGTCTACTTGATATGAAAAATATGCAGATTTATAAATATTCTTGTATGGTGTAAACTTGAATGTACATTACTTTTAGTGTTAACATAGAGGAAAACAGAATGCAGTGTTTCACAAATAAATTATGGTATTTATTAAAAGTTACTGTTTCTGTCATGACTTTTTATTTGTTCAATGCACAAGAAAGGAGAGCAGAGAATGTTTGCAGTGTTTAAACAAATAAAATATAGTATTTATTAAAAACTTTCTTTTCCTGTCATGTCTTTATGTGCTCAAGGCAAAATAAGAGAGAGAACAGAATGTTGCTGTGTTTAACAAATAATATTTATTCCAGATTTGCTTTTCTTGTCATGTCTATTTATTTACTCTACAAATAAGATGTGATGGGAGGACTGTATGCTGAATATTCCTATCAGTAAACTGACAGCCGTGTGTAAAATTATTTTTCACTCTGAAACACAAGTTTCCCTGTGTGGATTCCCCCATTTGAGGAAAAAAAAAAAGGGGGGGGGGACGGGGACAGCCCCACTGCCTCCCCTAACAAGCATATCATAAAAGTACTAACCAGGAACGTATCCTTGGCAGTTGGAGACGTGACAAACCCACAGCCTGTATACAAATAAGTTGGATGTTTAAAGCGGATGTGCATGCAAAACTCAAATTCTGGAACAAGACCAAAGTCCAAAAGTGGGTGAACAACCAGAACTTTTCCTGCCAGAGTCAAAGGCTGGTGAACTCAAAGAAGAATCACAAAAGTGTAAATTAAGCAAACTGAAACTCTAATCTGTTGTTGTCAATGATATATCTGATTATTAAAAAAAATAATCACAGCAAAAAAAAAATGAATTATATAAATTATATGCAAATGAAGATAGCATTCATGGCTTGGGAATTATACACACATTTTCATAATTCCGACATGCAGAGTTCGATTCAGTTGCAAGGTATCTGGTAGTATATCACTTTGCAATGATGATGATAACGGTGTCAGCACTGCCCACTGAGAGAAGCGGAATAAAAACTATTGAATCCAGGAAGGCTAATCGGTGCATCAAATGCCTGCAGAAGTCAGATTTGTCGGCCGAAAAGGGGCAAATATCACAGCCATCTTGCAAACGGGCACAATGCACTTACTTACATCTTTAGAAGAATGCAAAAAGGGGGGGGGGGGGAGAACTACTGAATATAAACATGCCTAGTAAAACTACAACCAGCCAAGAAAAGCTGGGGTGGGCGTACAGTGTCCCTCCTGTAAATGATAGGCAACAAACTTTACAAAGTGAGACAGGGCAATAATTTAATAGTATGATCATGACTGAGAAGGGAGAGTAAACTCTGCTGCTTTCCTGATTAGGTAAATCCTGTCTTACAAAACAAGCACCAAAACGGAAAGAAAAAAATGGTCTGTGGAAAAAAAAAAAAAGATGCCCAAGGTAAACATTCAACATTATCATGAGAAGCTAAAAATGATGGGCTGAACTCAATGTCATTAACTAAGAGCGTTGCATGACAGAAAGGATCACAATGATGACATTCATGTTAACTCACTACACTTCAATGAAAAAAAAAAATTGCTAGTTTGTAAACTAATATGACAGAGGCAAGCAAAGAAATACAGTTATATGTGCCTACACACACTATACTAAAATATTTCAATATATAAATCTGACAAAAGTATGTGTAGAAATCTGGTCTCATCAGTCATTTCTGCTTCAGTGTGACTCATTAGGCTGTTATTTCCATATAAAGGAAATTTACAGAGCCATTATAAGTCCAGATTATCATAGGCAAACTTGTGTAACTCTTAACAGACCCATAAACAGTTGTGCATAAATGTAATGGAGCTTATAAAAGCTGCCTATCATGGGCAGACATATACAATGCATACAATGAGAAGAACTGCAAATAAAAAGGAACTTAATTATGTGCTTTTCTAGCTAGATCCATGCTATTATAGGCAGGTCTATGAAACATGTATGCACTTAAGAAGCTTTACAGCATTTGTAATGAAACTTAACACTGAGTTTCCATAGATCTAAATTAATTACCAAAGGCAGGCTTGTGCAGTGTTAATGTCATTTGAGAAGACTGAACACAGTTGCCAGACAGGCTGGCAATGATAAAGAAATAAAAAATATACAACTTTATTATCTGGCTGTGTAACTTTATCTCCATACATGACAAACAGTGTGAAATCATTCATTAGAAAACAATAATATTTTAAATTGAAACTACATCAATTTTACAGTATGAAAATTGAAGTATTTTTAGAAGCACCTAATCTGCATTGTCAGTTTTATCATAAACTTAATACCAAAACTAGCTTTAACAAATAAAGATTGAGATTTGGAAATTAGATGGAATGGTCAAATAAAACAAGAAAAAAGTAAAAAGCAGTCATTATTTAACACTTTCAGTCCCAGGGGGTTTGGCATCTGAGGCCCAAGTGGTAGAGTAAAATGAGACGTAAAATCAATGCATCTTTTATTCATTGGTAGGAACCTATGAACGTATGTATACCTTGTGACTGAAAAAGTTAATTACAGATGTAATTCTGATTTGGCAGGTAATTTTACAAATGTTTAAACACTGTCATAAACAACGAATATGAGATGTTGAATTGCTGATGTTTCTACAAGGATTATATACTATCCTACACGATGAACATCAATCGTGGTTATTGCGGATTTTCCTATACACGTTTTTAAATGATCACTTAGCAGTGAAAAAGAGATGTAGGGTTGCTGATATCTTAGTGACGTGGTTTATATATAATCCTAGACAAGGTGTGGGAAAACCCTGTGTAGGTACTGGAGACTCACTGGGGGTGTTGCAGATGCTAACTAATGAACGTATGATATCGCAAGAGTTTTTTGTGTGTCCATATAACAAGACAGGCAGTATGACATTTCAAACTGATAAGATGCCTTCTACAGCTTTGACAATGCAAGAAGCACTAATGCCATATTTCTCCATGAGTTCTGCACTCTGTCCACTGCGAGGGATCTCTGGAACAAAGAGTCGTCTAATAGTGATGCCTGGGTACTCGCTCAGGGCACCAGCAACAGCTTCACCAATGCCTCCTGATAGAATAAACAGCACAACATTGGATTACATGGAGTCAACTTAACAAGATTTCTTTACATAAAGCCTACAAGAAGTGGTATTTGGATAAGAGATCTATTCAATCAAAGCTAGCTAGTTAAACACTATCATTCATAACAGCTTTCCCAACTGCACACTTGAAAGTCATCATATATAATTCATAATTCAGACCAATAACAAGGAACCACACAAATCAATGGCATTTACAATCTCAAATTCAGCAAATGACCATTGAAATTACACCCTAGAATTATTTTAACAACAACAAAATGTACAAATAAAGCATAGCAGGCTAATATCTGATTTACCTCTTTGAAACACCACGACCCAAAAATAAATACCTTTCCTAAGTGTTAATAAACTGAGGTAGCTCAGAGCTCAGATATGTTTGAATGACGTTTGTTTTGCATGGAATTATTGTCTTTTGAGAGCTTTTGGCTTTTTTAGGGTTCGAATAACTGGGTGTACATGGTGACTGATCCGGACTGTAGGCTGGGTATGTTGGAACTTCCTGCTTCTTCATGGCCTAATGATTAAACGAATAACCAGTCTTCTGAGGGTTATATTCACCATGTCCCAAAGTAGTAAGATGAATGTCTGAATGCCAATGCTGACTTATTCTGACAACCCTAGGTAAATGCCCAATTCCTTACAGATGCTTTAATTCCTGCCACTTCTGTTAATACACCTTTCATATGTAATAAAATCATTGACATGGGTTCAATGCATCACATCACATAACTTTTCTACCCTGTTATCTTTTACTGACTGGAGAGACAGAAGTAAACAGAAAAATTCAAACACACACACAGACGAGACAGAGAGAAAGAGAACAGAATCCTGTAGATAGATAATCAGAAAAAAGAACAGCAGTAGAAAGATACAGAGAGGCAGACACAAAAAAAGAGAGAGAACAGAGATAGTGACCCAACAAATTTTTAAAAGAGATTTGAAAAAACTGAGGCAGTGAGACAGACATACAGAAAAGAGAGCTAACCTAATCAGGGATATAGAGAAATAGAGAGAAACTAGACACTGAGAGAAGCAGAAAGAGAGAATGAAACAGACACAGAAAGACACAGATCATGAGAAAATCTGACGGTGAGACAGAGATAGATAGAGAGACCATGCATATGCATAGAACAATGGAGAGAGAAAACATAGGGACATTGACAGGAACAAAAAGACAGGTTCACAAACCTTCTCCATAATGATCTTCAACAGTGATAATCTTGCCTCCCGTCTCTACGGCACTGGTAATGATTGTAGTAGCATCTAGTGGCTTGATTGTGAAAGGGTCAATAACTCTGATATTCACGCCAGAACCGGCCAGAGTTTCTGCAGCTTTCAATGCCTCGTACAGTGTCACACATGATCCAATCACAGTGACTTGATCGTTGGGGCTCTGCCTCACAATCTGTCAACAAAAATACAAAAAGAAATGTTTCATGATAGCAATAAATATTGTATTGACAGTTTCATCATTTTCATGATGTGGTTATGTTAAACTCTTTATTATTAAGGCATGTGCTTAGTACATCTCTGATTTCAACAATTTGCTCAGGTTTACTGTCTCTTGCCTTTTACTGTCTCAGTCTTCTTAAAAGACAGAAGGTTTGTGTCTCTGATTCTTGATTTGTCTAACATGGAAGTCTATAGTAACAGCTCTTGGGGGTCACTGGAACACACAAGCCCTTTTAACAATACAATGTGGAGACAAACCAGTCGATTGACAAGAGATAGTATATATAGTAACTATGTGCAAAGAAACACCAAGAGATAGGTAACTATGTGAAAGAAAATATAAGTAGTATATATAGTAACTATGTGCAAAGAGACAACTGACAAGAGATAGTTTATATAGTAATTATGTGCAAAGAGACAACTGACAAGAGATAGTATATATAGTAACTATGTGCAAAGAGACAAACAGCTAATAAACTGATATTATAAAATCAGTAATAATTAACAGGTTAGGTCACTTCACTGTGAGGCGTTTAAAAAATACTGAAATATGAGGTACTGGGAAACAAATCTTTCTTGAAAGAACCTGTCATGGAACTGTCAGTTTGAGGTTATAGGTAATTCAAAGTGAAGATACACGTGGCATGGCTTTTTCTGTGTCTGAGAATACAGCAGTGCTCTCAAATACAACTAACATTTTAGGCAATTGATTGCAACTTAATACACCAGAATGTAAATGTTAATGAAGCCCTTATGAGAAGGAAAGAATAGTGACAGAGAAACCTACCATGCATGTAATAAAAGGTAACCATAAGGAGGACTGGCATGGTGTGAGAGAGACAGAGAGAGATCACCCCCCCCCCCCCCCCCCACCAAAACATTAGCTGGCATGAGTTGATTGGTGTCTATGGTCTAATGAGGGATACACGACCAATGATGTTTCCTATCCATATGAGATCAGCGCTTCAAGCCAAAGAAAGTCTAGTACCTTAGCTTGTCCAACAGTGAAGACTTCATCATTCTTGTAAATGACTGGCACATTGGGTCTGCTGGTCCTGATAAAACAGATCCCCTTTGTGTTTGCTGCCAACTCCACAGCCCTTTCTGTAGAGACAGCATCACTGGGATAGAACACAGTTGAGCCTGGAACACTCCTGAACAAGGCAATGTCTTCTAGAGCCATTTGAGATGGGCCATCCTCACCTGCAACATAAGACAACTGTTAACAATATCCAATAACTTGCTGTGTGTTTACTGGCTTCTGCTTTTACAGAAGAGGCAGATTTTCAAAAACTGACTTCGGCTCCAGGTTGACTCAGTCTAAAACTGGTGACAGGAAATGTCCTGAGAAGTAAAGGTGGCCGGAAAGCTGACGATCACTCATCAAGTGCAGACTGGTCTATATTTCTAGCATCATGTGTCGGATGCAAGACTGGCATGACAAGGGTTCTTTACTTCCCTGTTTTATTTTATAAATACCAATTACAGTACACAGTATTTACATACCATTCATAACTACTTGTAACCCCTTCCTGTTGTTTAATCTAACTATTCATGGATCAGCACATCAGTGCACAGCACATCAGTGCACAGCACACTAGGGCAGTACTCAGTGAAGTCATTACATATGCTCTTTTAAAACGTTTGCTGGAGGTTAAATAGAAGACCTGGGACGTGAACTGATGGATTGCTATCAAAGATGAGACTTGAGCAGCCTGGGACTGAACACGCCAAATTATAATGACCCCATGTGGGTTCTGGGGTTCCATTGTGAGAAGAACCAAAAAAAAAGATCCACTGTCCCTTAACTAGCATGTTAATTAATTAGGGGAGTTTCCCTCAAAGTTGGAGTGCATATGCTTGAGAGGTGAGGAACCAACGATCTGCATACAAATAAACCAGATCTGTAAAACAGATGTGCATGCAAAACTCAAGTTCTGGAACAAGACTAAAGTCCAGAAGTGGATGAAAGACCAGAACTGTCCACGAGAGTTTCCTGCCTATAAATGCCAAGAAGAAGATGACTTAGTTTATCATAATTGTAATTGTGAAACCAAACAAAAATGTCAAATTTTGCCCTCTTTCAGCTGCCCGAAGGCCTGCTTTATCGAGGACGGTTTCTTTGCAATCTGACTGAATTCAATTATGTGTGGTGATCATTTTCACTAAGTTAGATTATTTGATGCTGTGTCGTGTCTGCTCGATAAGGCTTGACGGGCGTATTCCAGTTTTTTGGGAGTGGAACTGGCAGCCCTGAAAAGGACTGTGATTTTTGCTTGGGGCGGCCTGGAACGGAAAGGTACCTAGTTTAAAAGAATGGCTTCGTACTTATATAACAGTTTAAGAAACAATGAACTAAAAGAACTTAAAATAAAAGGCTAGCACTAGTACTATACTGACTGGCCGTGTCGGTGGCTAAGGCGCTGCGAGTCAGACTCATAATTCCAATGCACCACAATCGAAACCCACCGCTGACTGCGTGGATTTTTATCATCATATGGGGGGTAGCAGGTCGACCCAGCCTTAAATGGGTACCAGGATAAATGTCCTGAGAAAGTAAAGACGGCTGGCGTAATCCTGACCACATTACCCACCTAGTGCCGATTGGTCTGTAAAAATATGGGTGCTCTTCCCATATGCCCGATGCACCTGGGGCGTAAAAAAGGATCTTTACTTTACTTTCCTATTCTGACTGCGCAATCATGAATCCAAAACCACAAAGCATAATTATTTGTGGGAGCAAATTTCAAGTATCCTGACACCTGCATAAAACAATTATTTGGGACACACTGAACATATCATTCAATGGTGGGAGTGACAATAAGTACATCACTCTGTTGGTGAAGGAAGTGATACTGAAACACATCATACTTTGTGGCAATGACATTGAATATATAACTAACCGAAGGGAGAGTAATACAGAACATGACATTCTCTGACAGGCTGTCTTTATGATAAAGTAGACATAGTGAGGGCTCTCTGGGATCATGGAGACATTGCAATGTAACAGACAGATCATTCAAACATTGAAAGACTAATTCAACGGGGTGGGGACACCTACACACAATTTTAATCAGGTTGCACCTAGGACTATTAGTACATCAACTTCTCGTTGGCAAATGAGGAAGCAGACCGAACATGTATGGGGAAAGGCCCAAGTGCAGGGATGTCAGTTCTCAAATCATTCATACTATATGGGGGAAGAGAGAGAAAATGAAAACATCACTCTTTCAGGGAAGTGTCACTGAATACACTACTCACCGATGACAGCAATAGTGGGGTGAATGCGAGTACGTGCTTGTGTGAAAAGAGGCATTACAGTCTTCACTGATCAAGTTCTATATAAAAACATAAAGGCATGAAAATTATCCTTGAATTTTTTTTTTTTAATGTTAAACCAAAATATTTTACACCGAAAATCACTCATACAATAAACGAATATACTGATTTACAACAACAACAAAAATACACATATAAAGAAACACGTCACATACCAATAGAAATGCCAGCATGGGAACCAACAAAGTTGGCATTTGTCTGTGAAATAGCTCCCATACGTATCTGGTCAAAGGCCCGGGTGAAGAAGGCAGCAAAGGTGCTTATGAATGGAATTGTACGGTTGCGGGTGGCACAACCAATGCCCACTCCAACCAGATTCTGTTCAGCGATGAAACACTCAATGAATCTGTCTGGAAAAGCATCCTGAAATAAAAGCATATTAAGTATGTTAATTCCCTTCTCCAAAGATTAATGTTTGCTATGCATTTAGTCCAGTATGGATCATCAACAGGATGGTGCTTTAAGGTCTTCAACAGTGCCTCATAGTTTGTTTTGTAGGGTCACTGTGGCCATATATCTTCTCACTGACTGGCAACAACTCTGATAATCCCATAAGACACCCTCTGTAGTTTGCTTTGGTGCACCACAACCACATGCAAAATAGTTAGCATTTTTAAGTTCAGTAATGGAATTTTTTTTAAAGCCTTTTGGGCATATGACAATAGTTGGGTGCATTCTATTTTTTCTTTGCACCACATGATGTGGTCAACATTTTGCCGGCCACTTTTATTTCCCAGGGCACTTACTGGAGTAAAAAAAATTTTTAATCCTACCCCATGAACAGAGCATGGTTAGTTGGCTTGCCAGGAGGCCCTAAATCTTCAGGCTCAAGACCTTTCCTGTTCTACATCTTAAAAAGTGGCAAGAAAACAGGTGTTTTAGACAAATCATTCAATGTATGGAAACTTCACTGAGTTTTTTTTTTAATGTACTTGAAACATTCTAGAGTTTCCTTTAAAGTTGGAGAGGCGAGGAATCAACAGTCTGCATATTTGTAAAATGGATGTGCATATAAATTTAGGGTTCTGGAACAAGACTAACGTCAGGCTAATAGCGAGGGAGTATCTACTTTTTTTTTTGGCTAGAAAAGAAATAATAAAAAAAAACATGTGAAGGAAGAATAATGATAAAAGAACTGAAAATGATGGTTACCGATGATGCGTCTGAATACCTTGAATTTTTGGGCAAATGTTGAATTCTTTGTATCTCCATCCATAGCAATAACTCTGTCATTATTCTTGCCTATCTTGACTAGAGCTGTACCATATGCCAACCGCGTGGCAACCTGCAATTATGTGATAAAAGAACATGTTACATACAAAATACTTTGTTCTGAATATATTATTGAGTGAATTTACATATATTTCTTGATGTTTATTTGTTGTTGCTTGATCAAGGTTACAGCGCAGAATAGAGGGATTTAATGGTATGACAGAACCACTAATGTAGAGCTTTGGGAGAGAACTAAACAAGTTTCAGTGGACCAAGAGGTTAAGAAAAGATGCTGGTGTTGGATAGGACACACGCTGAGGAACCTGAGAACAATAAAACTACCATGTCTTTACACTTAAATCCCAGGACCACAGAAATAAAGGAAGAACAAAAACCACATGGAGAAGGGAGCTAGAGAGTGTAGTTAAAAAGATGGGGAGGGTATGGGGGAAGCTGCATGAGACAGCAAAGGATAGAACGACTTGGCGTGAGTTGGCTGAGGGCCTATACTCCATTAGGGGTTAGAAAGGCAGAAGAAGACTTAATTCATTTAATCACCATGCTACTCTTGGGGTATTCAGAGTATCAGCTATGCATTGTTCATCCATTTTCTAAAGTAGCACAGCCAGCAAGCTTTCCATCTTCATTTCTTAATGCCTCTGAGTGTCCAGGCACCAAAAAAAAAAAAAAACTTCCTCAGAGACCCCAGCCACCATCTTTAAGCCCAGCCTATTTTGATCTTCTTGTGCACACTAACTGAGATCATCACAAAGAGAGCCACGCTGTAGTACTGAATCAAGCCTGTGGCTCACGGTATCTGATTTGAATAAGCAGTTTTGGGGGGGTTTGCTTTCCTTATCTTTTACATTCTATAAATACGCTATTGTCAACATAGCTCTTGGGGCGAATGGAACCTTCTACCACTTTATGGCAAGGACAATTCAAAGAGAACAAACTTCCTATGTGATGGAAGTCTGAAACAATCATGATTAGCAATGGTATGATGGACTACAAGAAAAAGAAGCAATACTTATTAAGTGAAATGGAGTTTGTCAGTGGAATAATCACACCTACTCTCTGTAACATTACATCATCATCTCGTAACACTGTGTGTTGTTGGTTCATCAGCTGCTGTTGACTGTTTGATTACTTACTAAAGGAAATTAAGATTCCATTGGTTTAAATGATTCAAACGCAAACAATACACTGAATAATTTATTGCCTGGCATATTTCACTAGATCTTGTCAGTTTCATTTCTACAGAGTTATACCAATGTATAATGAAGCACAAAAATTAATTATTTTCACTGAAATACACAAATCACACTGACTTCTCTAGTTACAGTGTGCATTTCACGACAAGACATTAAATATCACTTTATGGTTACTATGAAAGTTTGACATTTACCATATTTTTTTTTCACACAGCAGGAGATTGTTCATCTTATTGTCACAGCTTCAGCTAATTTCAGTAATTGCCTAATCAGTGTGTAGTAAATAACATGGACATAAAGCCCTTATCAATTACATAAAAATAATTTCAATTCTGGAACAACATACTAGTAACATGTTTATTATAAGGACTCACAGTTTCACCCAGCTTGTACGATGGAGGGCTGGCCAGTTTCACAGAAACATTGACAGGTGCAAGGGTGACCTTAGGCTGCTGAGGAATCACATTGTGAGGCCCAAGGTGAGCAATCTGCTCCCGAATGGCTTTAATCGCTGCCGGCGCATCTTTTCCCAAAGGTTTCCCATGCCAGTTTTCTGCGTCAGCAACTCCTGAAATAATTATCACAACAATAACCAATTGTTAACACTTTTTGTTTTTATAGTATTTTGTTTTTATATTACACTAATCTGACTGCAGTTTTTGTTGGAAAGAGTACTTCTCTTGAAGACCGGGATGCACGATACAAGAGAGACAGAGTTAAGAGCAGAGAGAGAGAGAAAGATGGAGGGAAAAGAGAGAGAGGGAGAGAAGGCTAGGAAAAGAGAGTGAAAGAGAGAATATGCTGAAGTAATAAGAAAACTATATGGGTCACAAGCTGAAGCAAAATAAAATGCAACATCTTATGTTTTAATCCACACACACAAAAATAAAGTTACCTTCAAACAAATTCCAGGGAGCCATCGTGGTCTAGCGCTAGACTTGCGCCTGCGGATTGGAAGGTCGTGGGTTTAGGTCCTGACGGAGCCTGACTGTTTTTTCTCTCCAAAAAATGACCTTGGCTCCCAAGTCGACCCAGCCTTGAGTGGGTACCAGGTACAGTCCCGGGAAGTAAAGGCGGTCGGCATGATGCTGACCAAATCACGCACCAAGTGCTATTTGGTTTATAAAATACGTGCCTAGCCCTATAAACCCAATATGCCTAAAGGCCTGGAAAAGGGTCTTTACTTTAAACAAATTTTAAAACAAAAGCAACATGAGGAAGTCTATACTGCACTGGGAGGACAGAATAGTCATAATAATAAATAATTTAAAAAAAGAAATTAAAAGTTCACACCTGGAATTCCTTGACCCTTGTAAGTTTTTGCCAGAATGCATGTGGGTTTGCCCTTGACATGGCTAGCATCCCAGAAGGTCTTGCACAGAGTTTCAACATCATGGCCATCAACAACATATGTGTTCCAGCTGCAAGGAGCCAAATTAAGAAACACATTATTAAAATCAATAATATATACTGTTGACAAAAAACAAACAAAAAAGGGTGCTTTTTTAATATCCTACCCCAATCAGGGGAAATCCACAGTTCACGGGACAGTCTAATATTTCAAGGGGTGGTAGATAGGCTGCATGCAGTCGTGGGAACTAGGCTGCATGCAGTCGTAGGACCTTGGCTGCATGCAGTCGTAGGACCTAGGCTGCACTCTTTCGTGGAACGTAAGTGGGTTAGGGTTAGGGCCAGTTTTCTATGTTTTTGGCCGTTAAAAGCATCAGAAAGCCAGAAAACCCTGTCTTACCACCCTCTAAAATGTTGGACTGTCCTGTGTCCTCATATGGGGTAGGATATTAATAAAGCACCCAAAAAAAAAAGGCATAGTTATCCAATGGCACATTTTAACACCTTGACGGGAAAGCCTGTAGGCTTAAAAACTGCTGATGCACCATATGCAAAAGAAGTGTCAACTGACTGACTGGACCCTAAGGTATTTTTGTGTTCAAATTGAACAGTTTCGCTCATTACATTTCATAAATTTTGAATGTCAAAATTAAGACAAATTTATGTTTCTTTCAGCAGCAAATTTTTTGTTGTTGAATATGATATGTTAGAGAGCAGACAGAATTGGGCTCTCAATTAGGAAACCAAGGGCTGAATCATTGGTAAGATAAAGAAGTGTTTTTCAGTCAGGGGACAAAAATTTAATCATTCATCCAGTTTGCCATGACTGCTAGCCAATGTGGCCATACATTTGCAGGCTAAAGAAGGATTACCTCCACACCCCCCCCTCCCACATTTACATCGCTTTAAAAGGTTATTTCTGTCCTTCACCCTGAATTGTACACACTCTGAAACTGTTTATTCATCTCCCTAGTCCTTTCCACTTGTATTACTGTCTGCCTCTTGCTCACTTAATTTAAACATTCCTCTAGTATAATTTTATAAGAATGTTAATCTTTTAATTTGACCAAAATATTTCTCTTTTGTCTCCTTTTTATTTCTGTCGGCAACTCTTTTCATTCCTAGTTTTCTCACAATCTCTGTATTTGACTGTTCTTTTCTACATGAATTACAAGCTTTTCTTCTCTATACCAGCCTCTCCAGAGATTCAATATTATTTTCTAACTGCTATTTAATTATGGAGTTTGAAAAAAGAAAAGAAAACAATGTTCCTACCCAAAGGCTTCCACTCGTGCCTTATATGTGTTGAGATCATGCTCCAACATTGTGGGCTCACTCTGTCCCAGACGATTGATATCAAATATTGCCACCAGGTTATCCAGCTTGTAATAACTTGCAAAAGCCATAGCCTCCCAGATGGATCCTTCAGCACTCTCTCCATCACCAATGAGACAGTAAACACGATAACTGAAAATGTGAAATGACAGTAACATAAATTTGTGTTTCTTATAGCTACTTTATGTTTAAAGAGAGATATATAAAAAAAATAATGAGGCTAGTTAGTCAGCCCTTTCAACATGATAGATTTTGTTGTGCTAAAGCAGTGGTTCTCAAACTTCGTAATGTGGTGACCCTTTAATAGTTTCTCATGTTTTGGTGACCCCCAAACATAAAAACACTTCTGTTGCTATTTTATAACTTCAGTGAATATGTGTTTTCTGATGGTTTTTAGGTGACTCCTTTGAAAAGGTTATTTTACCCCCAAAGGGATCGCAACCTACAGGTTGAGAACCGCTGTTGGAGGTGTGGGAGTCACAGTCCATAACAATGGTAAAACTGACTAGCAGTTTCCCTCTTCTGGTAACATGACCAAAAAATGATGACTGTCTCTTTCTGATGTTTGTGATAAATTGCCTTTGAGTCCCCATCTCTTTCAAAACATCTGGGTTGCTCTTTTTGGCTGTTCAGGGAATTCTAAGTATTCTTCTATAAAACCACTTCTCTAAAGTCTCAAGAAACTGTTCAAATATGCAAATTCTAATCTTCTAAACTGTAGAAAACAGTAACAACAATTATAACAAACACACAGACAAAACTCACTCAGCCTTATCAAAATATTTCCCAGTGTATGCCATTCCTGCCGAACAGCTCAGACCCTGACCAAGAGACCCAGTGGCAACATCCACAAAGTTCAGCCTCTGCAGTTGAACAAAACAACAAAAACATTACAGCTTGTGTTTACTGTATTCTCTGAGTTCCAAATGACTCTTACTTCAACCCTACCTATTCCAAAGATTGTGTATATTACTGTGACACCCTTCAAACCTTAAGGAGCTGGAATAATAATTATGAGGAAAGATGATGTTCAAGTAACATTTAGACTGAAATAAATAATGTTGCAGAAAAGCTGCACTGAATGAGTTCAGAAAGGCATAAGTAACTTAAGTAAGTAAAGGACCCTTTTCCAAGCCTTTGGCGTATTAGGCATATAGGGCTAGACCTATCGGTACTCTGTGGGTGATGTGGTCAACGTCACGCCAGCCTCCTTTACTTTCCAGGACTTTAATTGGTACCCATTTAATACTGGGTCGACTTGGCAGCCAAGGTTATTTTTTTTTCAAAGTCTAGCTCTGCAAGGACCTGAAACCACAAGCTTCGGATCTGCAGGTGAGAATCTAGCCACTACACCATAGCAGCTCCCTCAGAAAGGTATACCTCATATTAACTTTATTCAGTATCAGAAGACAGTTAAATTAAATTTAATTCAGCTCATGATGTATTTTGTGGCACCAAAAGAGTTGAGTAATCAATAAATGTATGAGAACTGCCTGTTAATGAAAGAGTTAATATTAATAATATATGCATTCAGCCAAACCTAAGAAAATATTAATGAAAGAGTTAATAATATATGCTTTCAGTTGCACTGAAGAAAAGATTAAGCCATATGGGATTAAATTCCACGAAATAAAGAAAGTCCTGTAACCATTAAACAACTTTCACATACAGACTGAAAAATAAAAGTGTCTTAGGTGTGCAACAGATATTTTTAAATAAATAAATAGGTCAAAAAAAAACAATATAGATTATTTGAAAAAACTGGAATGGAGTAGCTCAGAGGTAATGGTCTGATCAAGTAGATGGCTAATAAATTACAAATTAAGAAACCTAAGGATGTTTATACGCCTCTAGAGATCCATACAATGTCAGTATTTCTCATCATCATGATCTATTTGTCACAGTTCTCTTCTTTTTCTTTCTTCTTTACGTTCAACAGCTGTAAAAATAAAAACACTAAAAGTTCTGGCTGTTTGCCCATTTCATGACTTTAGTCGTGTTCCAGAACTTGAGTGCACACACCTGTTTAACAGATCTGGCTTATTTGTATGCAAACTGTTGGTTCCTTACCTCTCAGGAAGATGCACTGCAACTTTGAAGGAAGCCTCCAATTTAGTAGACTCTTACATGCTTGTTGGGGAGGCAGTGATTCTGTTCTTGTTTTCCTTCTTAATTGGTCCCTGGAACCGTGGATAGCACAGTTCTATATTCTACAGTACAAAACAGCATAAGCATATGGGGATACCTGATTTCTGAACAGGTGAGGGGCAGAGGTATCTGCTGGGAAAGAACAAAAGAAGAAATAGGATAATGGTGTTTACTAACGGACAGAGACTGATGTAAGGAAACATTAGGACATAAGAATGGCTGTATCTATCAGATGGTTTGTTTTACATAGTTTCTGTGTGAGCCTCTGTGAAAAATGTAATGTCTGACAATTAGTATCAAGGCACCTACAAGTCTGCTTCATTCTTTATGACTGAATAAATTACATTAGCTCAGGGTTTGGCTGCGATTACTTTGTCATTACATTTCTAAATACCCAAGGAGTGATTCAGACTAGATGACAAGAGCCTTGCTTTAGGAAGACACAAAGAATCAAGGCACAATACTATTCTATGAATTATCCTGTACCATTTAAGTTGCTCTGACTCATCATCATCAAATGCCTTGCCGACTGGCGTTGGTGATCATGCCTCTCCACAATTTGCCATCCGCAACTGCATGTATCAGTTTGTGTGTTGACATCCCTTAATGCCAAGACAACAGACTGTCAAGAATCTTCTCATGCTATCTTCTTCCATAGATCTTTTCAGTGGTCACAACATCTTCCAGCTTCCCTTTTCTCATAACATGATCGCAAAAATGATGTTTTTGATAAGTTGTCTTCAAGTCCTCGCTTTTTTTCAAAACATCTGGGTTGCTCTTCTTAGCTGTCTGAGGAATTGTATAAATGTAAAAATCATTTTTAAAGTAAATATTCTCACAGGTGTTGGATGGCCCTCAAGATCTGAAGTTAGCTTTCGGAGTTCAAGAAGTTCAGATGCTGGAAAGAGTCCAGTCTCTGCCCAGGCTGCATACAGGATAGGAGCTGCATGGCCTTTGGAAAGCACAAACCGATCATTGTTGGGATGACGTGGTTCTGCAATGGTGTAGTGCATTGTGTGGAAGAACAACACTGACATGATCTCTGCAGCTGAACAGCATGATGTGGGATGTCTGAAAAAAACAAAGAATGTGCAAAATATATATTAGTTCATCTTATCCTTCTTCAAACAACTCAAAGGAGATCAAAACCTAAATTTACACTGCAGTAAATAATACTTCATCCTTGTCTTATTTAAATGTTTTTATAGACTCATATGGGAAAGCTACCTGACCCAAGGAACCTTTAAACACATGTCAATCCAACAGGAACAAATCCGAAATGTCCTGACCAGCTGCACAGAGGAACAATTACATTTGGACACCCTTTAGTTATGAAGTAACTGCTGTTTGATGTGTGTAAAGGAATACAGTTCTAATGATATGCATATTGTGATACAATTCTCTATTTCCTTCTGGTAACATACTGGCTATGTATATTACTGCTCTACCAGAATACTGCAAAAAGCAACAGAAAACTGCCAGACAAAAGGTCACAATGATGCTAATCTAGAATAACCTCAGAGCAAGATATGTCAATGTACTATGGCCTAGAAGTATTTTAGCCTAGTTAAGTATAGAAGCACTCATGAAAGAATGTCAGAATGTTTCACCCGGACATATTTAGGAACACTAAGAGAGTGAACGAATGTTTCACCCGGAGCACCATGAATTAACGGAATGCCCTAACCAATACATCATCAACAGATAGAAATCAAACATTCAGAATGAAAGCTGGAGTGGTCAGAAATTAGTAAAGTATTAAAAATGAAGGAATCGGAAGAAGAATAGTAATAAAATTAGTCATATAATTCATTAAAGAATAACAGATGGAATGATGTGACCATCTGACAAAAATGTCCTGGTGCCAGCTACCACAAATACAGCCATGCTGAAGAAAATTATTGCGCATGTAACAAGAGAAACACCAAGTAACAATGTCTGCAGTCTAGGGGTGTTACAATGTGTATATACAGCGTGCCAACAAGTGTCTTGGCTTCATTCCACTAGGTCGACACCCTGTCTCCCACATGAAAGGTCGCAGCTCTCTTTTTTCCCAGATGAAAGTTAGCAATTCTCTTTTCAGTGAACGACTGACTATTCTAGCATTAGGGTTAAGGTCAGGGGCAGATGCAGAAATTCTGAAGGTCAAGGAAATTCATGGTAAAGGCCAAGTCACAAAGTGAGAATAGCACTTCCACGCAGGGCGGAATGAGGGTGACAAACGTTCGAAAGTAACAGAGTGGAAATGATGACGCAGTAAATGGCAAAAATGCTTAAAAGAAGCAACATATGAAACATCTAGAATATAGAAGTTTTAATGTTTTAGCGTTACTTTCAAATGAACAGTGACTAAGACTAAACCTAACACCAAAAGACTTAAAACTGTCCTATGGAATTCCCTATGATTTTGCAAAAGTTAGAAATTTGTGGAACTTTCTTTTTTCTTGTGTAAGCATAAACAATACATGTTAACTCTTTCAGTACAAGATAGCTGTTTCTTCAAACATGTCTGAGCTTGTGTACTCTATCCACATATTCTTCATGTTAACACTGAAATATAAAGCATTCACAAATAATCTCTACTGTTGCCAGTCTGCTGCTTTTCTTCTTATGTTATCACATGTTGATAAACATTCTAGTTTTCTTTCTACTGTCCTTTTCAAGGTTTCCTTAGCTGAGCCACATCTCCTCCTCCACCTTTCCCCCCACCCATAGCACACCAGAGATTTGTCTTTGCTAAGGTGTCAGAAGACAGTCTGCAAATATGCCCATTCCTCTGTAACGTTTGCAAAGGATGACTTTTTTTTTTCCTCCTCAATTGTTCATTTGTTATCTTGTTTGTGTAAATTTTTGAAAATTCAATAGTTAAAATTGCAACCAGAAAGAAAAAGTGCATATAAGTTAGAAGAGAATGGTTTAATGTGATAGAATAGAACAGAAAAAATCAAGAAACATAGAGCAATCAATGAGCATGCAGTGAATGTCTTGATACTGAAAGAGTTAAATAAGTTATCCTTTGGGAGCTGTGGTAGCACAGTGGTTGGCCTTAACAACAGGGTGGTCATGTATGTGTATCCTTATCCAAGCCAGGTTTTGTCTCCAGGCTCCCAGGTCAACCACATCTAAAATGCCTATTAATTAATTAATTAGCATATAAAATATGCAACAAATACTGGTGTGAAGGGGTCCTTTACTTTAGTTACTTTCTTTACTGTTCTATCTTGTACAATTGTTTCATCAACCAATCAGCATGTCTTTTACAGAAGATCATTCTCTTTACAGCCAGCCTAAAAGGCTCGTTTCTGTAGCCAATTCTCCAGCTCTGTGTGCTTTTAGATCTTCAATGTGATGTTCAATGTATCCACGTACGCGGAGGTCGACCTCTGCATCATGTTCATGAAAACTGCACCCTCTTTCACCATTCTGTCCGGAGCACCATGGTGTTTAACATGTCCAAAATATATCAGCTTTCGGGATAGGATGCTGTTTATGAGCCATTTCTCCATGATGTTCGGGAAGCTTTAATCTGCTTGCAGGGTGCTATGCCATAGGTTTTTCATATACATGCGCATACTGAGTATTTTAAATTAAGTGAACAAACCAATAACTTATACCGAGAGTTGTTGTCATTCCTCGACTATATAAATAAATACATAAGGCTATCCACAGAATAACAGTCAAAATTACCAAGGTCGAAAATATGCTCTAACAGGGCCTTAGTCACATGTAAACTGCGGACCTCTTTCCGGCGACACAGCATACCGCGGAAAAACTTCAGCCGTTAAAGAGTAATTCCAGCCATCTAGTTTAGCCCTACTTCGCGCCGCGGGAGATACTCTCAGCGGTGGTGGTATAGTCCCCGGAAAGAGGTCCACAATTTACATGTGGCAAGGCCCTGTTAGGGTATATTTTTGGCCTCGATAATTTGGGACCATTATTCTGAGGATAGCTGATAGCCAAGTCTTGAAAAGATATAAACCCGAACAAAAAGTATATGAGCAAGCTTCACAATATAAATACAAACAAAACGTGAACGTTGTGGCTATTGAGCCTTCATCAGCACACACAAAATAAACAATACTACATGGATACAAAAAATCACTTAGCTGGTATCACGATGCGGCCAGGTCGGTTGTTACTCAGCAGAATGACCGCACGTGTCAGCTGGGGGAATAAATACCCCCCTGTGGAGTATCAGGGGCCATAACTGGGGTGTAGGGGTTGAAACTGTGAGGGCAGTTCAATCCCCTGGAAGTTTAAATGAAACTGTGTTGGCAATTCATTCTGGAGGGCGTCAAAGTCCCCAGAGTATAAATAAAGTGTTTCTCAAGAGATTTGCGGACTCTGTCGCTGAAATTGCTAGATTTAATGGCTGTCAACCTCCATGTCATGGACAACTTGGTGATCCTGGGAATTGAAGTGCAACGGTACTGGTTTCAGGGCACCATTTTGAACCTCCAAAAAATGTCTGCAACCTGTCAGCCAGCCATAGACCTGTTTCACCAATGTATTTCATGCCACATCTCTTGCAGTTGATGGCATAAATGACATTACGGCTGGTACAATAGAATGCTTCACGTATGTGGAAGGTGGCGTTAGGGAATTTTAGACTGGCCACCTGTACCACATATTGACAGGTTCTGCATACAGGTCTATGGGGCTAAGACGCGGGGCGTAACCTACTCTTGACTAGAATGTCCTTGAGGTTACGACCATGTCTGTAGGCAGGGTCGGCTTTAAGGATGGAGAGATGCCTAAGGAAAATATTCTTGGCGCGGATAATATAAGTCTAGCGCTACACGCCAGGTACCGTATAGCAATACTGTTAAATGGGACATTTACTATGTCTATACTCGTCTATATTATAGAATTATTACGTATAATATAAAAATATAGGTCTAGTCCTATATTTTCAATACGCCTAAAGGCGTGGAAAAGGGTCCTTTACTTATTACGTACAATGGCCAGTTAAGTAAACAAACAATTCCTAATTCAATCAATAACATCCCATAACTCAATAACAGGACAACTTACACTTACCCAGAGTTGCTGGCATTCGTCGACTCTATGCTATGAATCCTCAACTTGTTGGCAATATCTCTGAGAGTCTGCAGTGTCTTACTGTCTAGTCTATGATACTTGCTCATGTTCGATGTTAAAATTTCACCCGAAATATTAAAATAACATACAAAAATAATAAATCCGCCACAGTGAAGACTTTGGACAGGTGCCCGCTTGAATCAGACGATACGAAGTTTGGCAGCCGGCAATGTCAACCTTCACCTTAAAGAGTTCATCAAAGGGCCGTGACCCTGGCGTTCACGCTAGCTGGTATAGGCGTGACACGCAAGATACCTCGTCAATGATGATTAAGCAAAATATCCCCAGACACATTTCTAATTTTCACAACGGTCGCTTCCTCAAATATTACACGCTTCAACTCTTCTTGTGTTGCACGCAGATTATATTCTAAATTTTTACATGACTGACGTCGGCAAGTTTGGACTGGACAGGCACGATTTTGTGCATCGATGATGATTGAGCAAAATAACATTAACGCTATAGCCTACGCATTTCAAATGTTCACAACTATGATTCGGTGGCTTCCTCTATTACTAAAGTAAAGGAGCCTTTTCTACGCCTTCTGGAATATTGGGCATATAGGGCTTGACCTATTTTTATAGACGATGTTTACAACAGTCAGATGTAATATCTTGATGACAGCGCTTATGGGGAAGGGAGTCTGTCCTCGGTTAACTGGATAGCAGCTGTTTTGTATTTTCGTCGCGTACCTCTCCGCCTGTGTTCACGGATCTCAGAACCCCGTATTATAGCCCTGTATCTACCACAGTAATCTGCAATTTTACCTGTGCTGTTCAATGTGTTTACTAGCAAGATTTCGGAACTGGAAACACCTGGAGTTTGTAGAATGCTGACATTCGCAGATGATATTCTCGCATATAGGCAGGGGAGAGATCGGAATTAAGTTGATCAAGAGTTACAGGCGACAGTAGATAAGGTGAGCGACTGGTATACAGAAATGAGTGCTGTAATCAAGCTAGAAAAGGCAACCGTCACGTGGTATTCTTTGGACAACAGGATTGTTAGAGCGGATGTTCCAAGCCTTAAAATAAATCATGGCAGATACATCAAGAGAGACAGCAGACTGTGATACCTGGGAATCACTTTTGACAGAAGCTTATCTTTCAAGGATCACATAGAGGTTGATGTGTTAAAGGCCCAAAAAGTTCTTAATGCATTAAAGCAATGGACATTGAGCAAAATATGCTGATCACACTATACCAGCACTTAATCATCTCTACGATTGATTATGGATTGGGTTTGCTCATTGCCTCGAAGAGTCAGCTAGAGAGACTGGAGCGCATACAGAATGAAGCTATGCGGGTGATCCTGGAATGTACAAAGAGACACCCCGATTGTGTGCATGCGATACATCCTTGCATTGCCGACTATTGCAGATAGGCTAAAGGTGCTGCAGCCTGTCATACCGCAGAGTAGCTGCCGATAAAGAGCATCCTCTGTATGAGGCTTTGGATGCCGTTGAGCATCAGAAGTTGAAAAGGGGAAAACCATGGATGGCTCAAGCAAAAGACACAATAAGACAAGTATGCCTGCTGAAGAACATTGGGAGAGGAAAGGAGTGGTTCAGAGTACCAGAGGAAAAGTCTGACCTATGTAGGGTCATGATCACATTAAGCCGGGTGTGCAGAAAGTGGCGAGCGCCGGCTACTGATTTGGAAGTCCAACAGTTGATTCACGTCAATTCTCGTCCGGATGATCTGATTATCTACACATATGTTTTTGTTTTGAGCGGGAAGAGAAGTGCCTGGAGTTCGTAGGGAAAGTCAATTGAAAATCTTTAGTGCTGGATAGCCTGGCGATCACTGCAGCTTGTCGGTGACGAGAGAACAAGATAAATCCACATGTCGTAATTGAAACGGATTATGCAAGCGTGCTGAAAAGGTGAAGACATGATTGCTTCGAGCAGAGTGGCAAGCTTCACTTGCAAGGGCACGGGTAGTGAGCATACTTTGGATTTTTTTTCTCCAGGTGATGCCTGCGTGGTGGGGAATGAACAGACAGACTGGCTGGATCTGCACCGCTGGGTGGTGAATTGATGCTTGACAAAGCAGATGTGGTCAGAGCCCTCTGGGAACAAGTAACGAATCAGAAGAGAAACTAAATTATTATGGCCGTGGAAGAATGATGCACCTGGGTGTGACTGGGTGTGACCAGAGAGGTCGGCCAGCATACTACGCTCAGAAGAAAAGGCAAGACGGACATACAGCCAGATACGACTGGCACCATTAGTATTGGAACTCTGCGCTGGCTGCTGAGGATGGAGACGGAGCGCATGTGGGAATGCCTCAAATACTTTGATGTCAATTCTTAACTCAACTCTGTAGGCGATGTGGTCAACATCATGGCGGTCGCCTTTACTTTCTAGGAATTAACCTAGGTACCTATTTAAGGTTGGGTCGACCGGATTTGAAAAAAAAAAGTTCAGCTCCATTCGGATTCGAACCTATAGTCTTTGATTCCGCAGGTAAGCGTCTTGTCGCTACACCAGGGTGGCTTCACTTCTTTATATTGCCCCCCCCCACACACACACACACACGCACGCACGCACGCACGCACGCACGTACGCACGCACGAACACACACACACACACGCACGCACGCACGAACGCACACACACACAAGTCTTTAAATGTTACATGATTAGCTTCTTTAAACGTTTCATGCGTAAACTCATTGTTATGAACGCAGCTTCTACTTTGGATTAATACATAGTTTAGTTAGCTTACATTGTAAATGTAATAGTTGAGTTAAAGTGACGTCTGTTTGTGACAAAAAGGTGGTCAAAGTAATAGATAAGACGGATTGGAATTTCTCAAAATCAAAGGGGAGGCGGTGGAGCTACTTTTTCGCGTATTGACCTAGGCCCGCCTGTCAAGAAGGGCTTAGGCAACGCCGATATACATATTTAGTATTTTTTTAATTGCTAAGGTGACCATATGTCCCGTTTTCACTGGGACAGTTCCAATTTTTTAAGTGTGCCTTGGCCGTCCCCTCGGTTCTCCATTTGAGAAAAATCTAGGGAATTAGCTCGAAATTAGAAGTCACATATAGTTATATCTGTAGATCTTTTTAAATGTCATATTTTTAGATACTTTTAATGCCAGAAATGTGCCGATTGACATTTTCATTGCAGAATGTTTTTATTTATTAATTAATATGGCTTATACAATTGTATGCCTATATATAGACTTATTGTCAGAAATATATTAGTTCTTTAATTAATAATTGATAAATTATAGAATAAATATTGGGTCAAAAGATATGGGGGTGGGGAAGGGGGGAGGGGTTAACTGACTTAATTGGGATGTTTGGTTTTCAGTTAAAAATATTAATGGGGTGTCGCATTTTCAGCTCAGGATGTTTATGGCGGCTACCACTAAAAAAGAAAAACAGAGCCGATATAGAATACAGGTCTTAGATCAGTGATCCTCAAACCTTTTTACACCCGCGGTCTCACACAAAAAACAGGGGAACGAACGAACGAACAAACTTTATTTTCATAGGGTTAAGAATTGGGCACGCAGGCCCGTCTAACATTCTGCACTTCCACTCCGCTCCTTTCATACAATTTTTCATTTGTACCTCATTTCATAGTTAATAATAATAATATTAATAATAATAATGATAATTATATAAAAAGGAATACAACATTAAAAATTTAAGAATTACAGAAAAGAATTTTTTTTTACAATATCTAAGTCTTAATTACAAATGCTGAAATGTGCTCTAATTTATACTGACATTACTTGGACGTTTTGAAGAGTGTAATAATAAGCCTATTCCAAAAATGATGTAAGTCTTACAGGTTGCATCATTTTTGGAGTACTGGGAGACTGTTTCAGGCCCCTCCTGACAGCTTACCAAACACAAAAACAAAAACATATGTAGGTAGCTGTCGATTTGTTAAATCTGATGACACAGAATTACAATTTTCAGTAGCATCTTTTTATTCCCATCTATGAGGGGGTAATCCTACAGACTGCAAATCATAAACGAAATACTATCTACTGTACTCAGGTTACATTTTTGCCGGTCCTTCTGGACATTTGCCAGGTCCACCAGTGAGTCACGTTTCAACGGTTGAAAAACAGATAATGGTAGACCAAACTTTTTAAAACTTATCAGTACTAGATGCGCAGTCTGTGTCTGTTGCTTAGGCGTTGCGAACGAGCTTCGTAATGCCGGGATGCTGGGTTTGATCACAGCTAATGACGGTTTGTCTTGCATTGGTTTCGACTGTGGTATCGAGAGCTAACCGTGCAGAAAGCAATGGCAGACTACTGAACCTAAAATTTGACTAGAAAAACCACAACAGCCAAAAAAAAATATAAATGCTGCGGTTGGTTCTGTTACGTCCTGAAAAGGATACACACCTAACTTAACTAGATGGGCGTTATGGTAAGTGTCATAAGGAAACCTTTTACTTTCCATGACAATCCCAGGTATCCATTTTAGGCTTAGTCGCTTTGCAAACCCGGGTCAATGAAAAACAATTCCCCCTAAAACAGATTAAAAACCACGATCTCGATTCCAGAGGCAAGCGATGTCTTAAATAGATCACACACAACTTGAAACTGAACAACAACATACAGAAGTTTACAACGACGAACAGATTATATGAAGTATATCCATACCCTTCTTATTGACAAGGAAGATAATTCGACGAAGCTGTATAGGACTTATATTTTGCAGGCGAAAGGTTCAAGAAAATAATGCCATAACATTGCTGAATGAGACAAGATAAAACTGATAAGATAACAGAAAGTTCAAATTCTGTATCTAGTTCCTTCGTGTGTGAATTACAGGGTCCCAATCTAGGAGAAGAAAGAATAGACTCACTGCCCCCTACACAGGCATGTCGTAAAAGGTGAATAATTAAGTCGGGGGCCATCTGCCTGAAAAGCGAGGACCCAACAGTCTGCCTACGAATAAAAGCCAGATATGTGAAATAGATGTACAAGCAAAACTCAAGTTTTGGAGCAAGATCAGAGTCCAGGAGTGAACGAACAACCAGAACTCTTCGCTGAAGTTTACAGCTGGTGAGC